TGGTGGCGGTGAGGTCCCAGCGGGCAGCCGTGCCAGGAGCAAGCAGGCGTGGGGCCTTTGCTCTTCTGGCTGCGCTCTAGTCCTCGCAGGGGGCAGAGCCCACGCTCTCCTATGGTCATGCTCTGATCACCCCCTCACACCAGGCCCCCGGGAAGGATTCGGCCTGCGACCCTCTGTCCAGGGGCAGCTCTACCTTCTTCCTGCTCCAAGGCAAGGCGCCTTCCCCAAGGCTCTGGGCTGGCTGGCTTCACTTCTTGGCGACTAACCAAGGACTCTGGCCCTTGAGGAGGTGCGGAGAAGGAGGTGTTTGAGAAAGAGGCTCGCTGGTGACTGGCACATCCTGGGGCGCTCCCAGGGCCAGGAGATCCCGCAGCCCCAGTGCCACCTGCCAGACCCTCAGGCCCTGCACAGCGTGGAGATGCCCTCTCCACCCCCTTTCTTCCACCACGACCTCACCTGTCCTACCCTGGTCTGAGAAGTGAGCCTGGCCCAGGCTCACGCTCTCTGGAAGATTCTATGAGGAAAAGGAGCGTGAGCCCAGGGAGGATACCGCCTGCGTGCAGGGCCAGCTCCTCCCTCTCTGCTTTGTAATCCCTTCCCGAGACTTCATTCTGGCCTCACCAGCCACCACAGTGACCTCTGTCCGCAGTGTCCCTGAGCCCTGATGGGCTGTGCCCCTCATTTAGCACGCAGCATACTCGTCCCTGCGTTGCCGGGCAGCTCCTGGAGGGCGGGGCTGGGCTTTATGGTCCTAGTGTCCCCTCCTCCCCTTCCCACTGCCTGGTGGGAAGCACAGTGCCTGCACACAGCTGGTGCTTAATAGAGCTAGCTGTTAACTCAGCAGGTCATAGATGTGTAGGAGCTGGGTCCCTTGAGAGCCTATGAATGCGAAGGACCCCATCTTATAAGAGTCCACCGTGTAATGGGCAGGAGCTAGTTCCCCCACTGTCATAGGTGGAAGAAGGAAGCACACTGAGTTCCAGGTAGCTGCAAGGAGGGAGAGACCCATCCAACTGAGCAACCCAGAGCATCTTCCCAGGGCCATGGGGTCTGAGCTGGGCCTTGAAAGGAGGGCAGAATGTTGGCAGGTGAGAAAGAATGGTGCTCCCGGCAGAGGGCCCAGCACGGCGAATGCGTGGAGGGCTAAGCACAGGGTGTGCAGGGCCAGGGAGCGGACCCTGGAAAGGAGGGGGCCTCCTGGGGAGGGGCTGGGGGTTCGGAGGGCTGCATCCGTCTACCCCCACCTGGTAGGTGCCTGGCTGAGACAGCTCTTCTAGGAACAGAGGGTCACTTTGCATGCTCATTGCATTGAGTTCTGCCTGAGTGAAGTCTCGGCTCCCTCGCCTGTGTCACCCTTCTCGTTCCTCCACGGTATGAAGAGCTCCCTGCTTCAAGGAAACCCTTGAAAGCTCTGCTCCTTTGAGACATGAGCAGAGGTCCTCCCTTGCTCCCCTTCTCTGCTCTGCATCCTGGCATGGCATTCTTTTTCTGAATCGCTCGCCAGGATCCTGCCCTTCTCTTCTTTTTAAATGATGTGTAGTCCTGGGTGCTTGCCATCTCAAGTTGCCTGAAAATGTGTCCAAGTCCAGGGCACAGGGAGAGAAGGGGCTGATGGAGTGTGTGGGGAGGGACATGGAGGGCCTGGGGCCAGGGGAGGTGGGCAAGCCTTACCACGCCAGTACAGTGTCCCCGGAGGCCCCCCTGCGTGCCAGGTGGTCAGAGCTGTGTAGCTCACTCTCTGATATATTCTCCGTGTAGGCAATGTGAGAAACACCGCTGTGGCTGTTCTTTCCCTAAGGAAAGCTGACCTCGCTCACCCTGGGCCCATTAGACTTTTGTTATTCAGGGCTGCAAAGCACACGCATGCTGCACACAGTTTTGCAATACCAACGCCATGCATAATACAGCCACAGCCAAATAACTCTAGGTGGCGAGGGCGTGGGGGAGGCTCGGAAGGCTCCAGTGTCCACAATGCTCCCAGGAGCTGCTCTGCCTGTGGAATCAGAGGGTTTCAGGGTGTCAGAGCTCGAGGGGCCTATGGGGGTCACCCCTGGTCTAACTTCCTCATTCGATGCTTGGGGAACCCGAGACCTGGAGTAAGTTGCCCAAGGCCAGATGGCTAGTTAACAGCAGAGAAAGAACTAGAAGCTGAGTCTCTGGACTTGCTGGCCAGTGCCCTACTCCTCTCAGGGCTAACGCTAACCCTCCCAGCCCCAGCCCCTCACATTCTGCCAGGTGAGGTCAGGGCTCTGGGCAGGGAGGCAAGCACAGGGCACGTGTGGGAGGCGACATCTCTTCCCTCAGCAAGGCGGGGCTACCTTTGGCCCACATGACAATGCCACATGAGTCACCAGCCGTGGGGAGAGTCATTATGCAGGCCTAGATGACCCTGTCCCACCGTCACCCACCAGGACACTGGGTCAGACTTTGCATGTCTGCAGGTCGACAGTGCTGGGCAACCACGTGTTCCCCTGTGCCAGGGCACAGAGCAGCAGGCACTGGGAGGGGAGAGTGAACCACAGGAGACCCAGCACCTGACAGTTTACAAAGAACGCTCCCCAGCATGCCTGTGGTCTGCCCAGGCGGAAGCGCCAGGTGCGTCTCTGGCTCCCTGGGCAGGCAGGTCTCACGAGGAGGGGCTGCAAGTCCCCAAGAATGGAAAGAGCATGTTTAGCCTCTGTGTGAGCCCTTGGTGTGGCCTTTCCCTGGACCCTCCTGCAGTGCCCTGCGTCTGCCAGTCCCGCCGGATGACTCCATCTCTCCTCGATCTCCTGGTCTCCGGGTGCCAGTGCTCCCGCGCAGCTACTCTGTAAACGTCCTGACCGCTTGCCTTCCCGCTCCTCGCCTCCCGCACTGCATTTGTCCCCTGGCTAAGACTCAAGAGGAGAGGCCGCTGGGGGGCGGAGGGCCCTGAAGTCAGGAGCCTGGGGTGTGTGTGGCAGCCCTGTGACAGGGAGGGGTCCTGGCAGAGGGATAAGGAGGCACCAGCCACGCGGGGAGGCAACGTGTTTACGCACACGGGGACAAACCGCAGTGGACGGTGACCCACTGGGGAGGGCAGTGCGGGCCCTGATTGTTCCTTTTTTCTGTGACCGCCAGGCGGCTTAAAGTGACCAGTGTGGCTCTGCCTCAGCAAGGCGAGGACTTCCTGCCCACTGGGGCTCCCCTGCCAGCGCTGTCTCCTCTGTACTTGTTTTATCTGGACTCTGACTTTAAAACTTCTCTTTACACATGCTTCTGTTTTATTATGTATGTATGTGTGGAAGTGACTTGGAATCCTCTGGGCACCAGCTGAGCTGTAGTGAGCGCACGAATAACCCAGGACGGAGAAAAAAAGAAGCAGTTTCTCTTCGCCCAGTTGCCCGGGGTATTCGGCTGCCACAGAGTCCCATTTCCTGGGAACCCAGCCAATGTCCTCCTCTAGTCTGAGCTCGTCGGTAAGCTCCGATCGCTCCAGCCAGGGCCTGAAAGGGAACCAGGCGGTGGGTTTAGAAGAACCAGGTTACACCCTGATTTCTCAGGACCTCACCCGTGGTGTGAGGAGGGTGGCACTGAAGATGGTGTCACCTGCAGAGTTAGGGTGACAGAAAATTCCAAAAAGTAGAGGACGTGGGCGGTCCAGCATTATGACTTTTGGGGGCCCTGGACATTTTTGCATTGGTGGGTTCCTTCCTCCATAAAAAAAATATAAAAGATTATATTTTATGAATGCACTGGTAGAAAGATGAAAATAATCCTGGCCGGATTCATTGTTATATATTCAGTTTTTTCTTCGGAATTTAAAAAAAGTAAAAGCTCAAATATTTTTGTGGCACCTCAAAGTACCCTGCGGCCACCGTGCCTGAGGGAGGAGGTGGCCCTGGGCAGGATCACAGGAATCTGGCTCAGGGCAAGAAGTGACCCTGGGCTCGCGATTACTTGGAAAGAGCTACATCCTGGAACTGGCTGCTCCTTCTGCCTCATGGGAAGGGGACAGATAAGCTCTATTCACATCCACAGATCAACTTGTGTTCAACCGTTGCCCAGGGCCAAGGAAGACAAGACTAAGAGGAGGAAGTTGTCCAATTTCCAAAATAACCAAGTGGACATTTAGAATCAGAATGTCAGCCTAGTCTGACAGCACGTGGGTGGCATGTGCTTCCAGCAACATCAGAGCTTGGGAGTGTGACCTCATCCCCACACGCGGCAGGGGCCTCAGGAGTGTGAAGTCCACTCACTAGAGTTTGTGTGACTGCGTGTGGAGGTAATCTGGGTTTCAGCTTCCCTTTGTGCCGTCTACGAAGAAAGGATGGATAAAGAAAATGTAGAATGTGAGCAAGATGGGGGGGTGGTTCAACTCCTGGAGTCGCTTGTTCCTTTCAAGCCCTTTCGAAGCACCAGTCTATGTTGTACAACAGCCAACAATAGACCTGTACGCTGCACCACAGGTAACACACGCCTAGTCATTAACGTCGGGTTCCTGGTGCTTGCTTTCCTAACCAGGGCATTACAAATGGAAAGCAATAAAGCCTATTTCTTAAAAAATAAAAACAATTTTGGATGGGCCCAGTCTGGCCCAGATTTGTGCGTGTTCCCCACATTTCCTTGTGGGGTGGAATGGCTGGCGAGGCAGAGCTCCTGCAGCCACTAGTTGCGAGTGGACCCCCAAGTTCATGTCAAGTGAGCAGCCATGATCACAACAGCTGGTGTGAGTGACTGTAGCTCAAAAGGGGAAAACCAAACCAAACTAAACCAAAACAAGCAACCAAAAGCAATAGCAAACGGCCCCTTCGTAATCCGGGGGGCCCTCCGCACAACTGAGCCTTCAATGCTCGAGCAGCAAGCTCTGTGATGAACTGGGGATATGCAACACTAGACATTGCTTAGTAGAGTCCTCTCCTTCCCTCTGTTGGACTTCGCATTCCAAACATTACTCCGAACTTCCAAGGACCCCAACTTTGGGACTTCTTGATTTCACAAGAAAGAATGCATTTAATTTAATGATTGATTAATCAGGATCATGAATTGCCATGTTTCATTTTTTTTTAAATAATGAAATTCCATAAGGGTTTAAAATATTCTTAGACACACCTAGCTTGGCAAGCATCACGGACACTCACATTTGTGTGAAAACACACGAAAGCTAGCCAGCACCTCAGTGCCAGCTGGCTCCCTTTGGCACCGGGACACAATAATTTATTAAGCTTCAATACTTAATAAGTGTGCACAAATATCATGCAAACATTACGCCCATACTCACAAACAAAAAGTGTATTAGAAAATAGACTTATACAAAACATCTTGTAAACGAAAGGGAAGGGGTTGATGTTTTCTGTACAAAATATGCAGGTTTTTCTTTTTCTTTTTTAATAATCTGTAAGATGCATCATACTTCTGGCATTTTCAAAAAGTGAAAACTGTATAAAAATAAATATTCTATGTACAAACACACACACAGGCCAATCCAAGGTTAGAGGCATCACTGCAAAATAAAAACAAAAACAAAAAACAACATTCGGTTAGTTTCTGTGGGTCTGCGGGTGTTTATTTCCCTTGTAGGAAAGGAGGTGAACCTTGTCCTGGGTTGGATGGGTGCTCTGGGTAAGGGGACTGAGGGACCCACCTGCCCCCCAGGTGGAAGGAACTGGTGGCTACTGTAAGCCCCCTGAGGGTGGGAAACCCAGCGTTCACCTCCCCGTCAATCCCCTCCGTGGCCTCTAGAGGGCACTCCCTGTCTCTGCCGCCTTCGGAGGCCGGCTGTGCAATGGCCGCGCTGTCCCAGGTTGAACTGTTAGGTGTAAATGAACAGTAATGAGGCTTTCTGCTTCTCCAAGACACGGAAGCTCTTGAGAGTGGCTGTTCTTCCCCTACTAAGCCCACCCGTTTCTATCTCCTAACCATCAGCAGCAATCTTGAAGAGGAAAATCTTGTTCTTAGGGGGCAAGGGGCCTGGGGTCTTACTGGACACACCTTGGCCCTGCTTTTGTGGTGCTGTAACTAGCTCCAGGTGGAGCTTGACAAAGGGATGAGGCCGGCGTGAGGGGCAGATCCTGGGGAGCGATCTCCCCTGAGAGCTGAGCTTTCCTTTCTTAGTTAGTGGGCTTTTTAGGTACCAGGCAAGTAGGTATTCAACCTAGGGCCTGGTGGCCTGGTGGTTTCACTGCTTTGACACAGTCCTGTGAGTTAATGAGATTTTGGGTGTCTTAGCACAGGGGAGCTTATTCGTCACATCGTAAGCATGATTTTGCTGTCCCTGGAACAGGCCTGGATTAGCTGAGCACAGACTCTTGAATAGACTGGGGTCCCCAGCCCTTTTATGAGGACAAACCAATACCCCGAGACCTGGAGGGCTGGTGAGAGCACGTTGAGTGGGAGGCAAGGTGGGAGGGCAGGCCTGGGGCAGCAGGGCAGCCGCCCCCTCTGCTGGGCGCCAAGGGGGCTTCTGGATTGGCAAGCCGATGGCCCTGGTCAGCCTGGGGATCCCTGCTCTTTGGGGAGCCACAGTTTAATGGGCACAGCCCTGTGGCGTCAGACTGCTTTAACGGTGGCAAATGCCAAGGCACTGTGAATAAGTGAGAACTCACTGTTGGAGGGAACCCTGGGAACCCAGGTGAGACTGGGCTGCAGGTCACATGTGTGGAAGTGCCAGGCTCTGACAGCTTAAGTTCAAGGAGAATGGTAGAGTGGTGAGTAGGGCAGTCCCTAGGAGGAGGCACAGAAGCTGTGGAGTTCAGAGTTTAAGCAACTTAGATGTCCTCCACCTGGATAAATGTCATCATATGGCTTAAACGACCTCATGTGAAAACTATGAGAGCAGCTGATTAATAACTAATTTAAAAATATGGTCTGGAAGTCCTTGGAGGAGAGACACTACATAAACTGACCACACAAAGCATAAAGATGTCACCTGTGTGGCTACATGGAAATTCCATATACTGGAGTGTGCTGATGCCTTAAGAAGCATTTTTAAATGTTCTCTAAGTGTGTGCAGTGAGACAGCCTTTTTCAACCCATGTCTTGCTGCCTCATCTGTAGAAAGGCAGAATGCAAACTGTCAGATCTTTACTGCACCGTTGAGAGTGGAGCCCCAGTGCAAACAGCAGGGACATCCTACCTTGTTCCAGCAGCCCTGGACTGGTAAGCCGTCTTCACCCTGCAATGAGGAGGGAAGGCAGAGGGCTCAGACTCTTCGTGACGGTCCACCAAGCAGGCAGGACAGGGGTAACAAGGGCCACAAACATTTTGGCAGCTGATCAGGCCGCAGGACCCCCACTCTTGTCGATTTCTTTTCTCTACTTCAGAACGTCGGAAGTGGGTGGGAAACAAATCCAGCTGTTTCCCCATTGGCTAAGGTCACATGGAGCTGCAGTGCAAGGCCAGGAGGGGCTGTCCTAGCCTGTGGGCTCGGCCAGCAGAGATGTCCTTGAGTGCCGTGAGAGAACGGTCTCTGCTCTAGCTCTGCGGAGTGCTAGATGTTCACGGGCAAGTCACTCTGCATTTGGAGGCCTCAGTTTCCTCCTCTGTAAAACCTGGGCAAGGGCAGTTGCTTAAAGTAACCTCTACGGATCCTCCAGCCCTCCACTCTCTTCTTTGTCTCTCTCCCTAAGCAGTGGGAGGAGGACATCTAGATGGTTCCTGCAAGGTGATCAGTACTAGGGTCGGGATGAGGGGCACAAAGGGACAGGCAGCCTCATGGGTATTGCAGCACAGCCCCGGATGCCTTCAGCAAGAAGACATGGGCTTCTGGCACAGTCTTATCCACTGCCGGGAATTTGGGGGTGAAGTGCGGTAGCAGGGCAGGAATCAACTCTACACTGTTTGTCTCTTTTGTCGGTGGCAACCATGGAGCACCCTTCACCTCAGGATGTTCTGCCCACAGTGCTGGAAACCTTGCTAAGTCTTCTCCGGCCCTACTCTCCTGGCCTCTCTGGCATACCCTGGAGAGGGGGGCGGGGAATCTAGAAATTTTGAGACAAGATGGGGCGGGCAAAGCTGAACCAAGGACAAAGATCTGGTTCTCAGTCCAAGTCTGCTAGAAAGGCAGCCCAGATGCTAGAGTTCCAGGCTCCAGGGCAGAGAGAGATGGACACGGTATTTCAGGAGAGTAGAGCGAGTGCTCGGTCTGTGAGAGGTGGTTGAATGGGAGACCTCTGTGCCCCAACCGACTTCACCCACCTGCCCACGCCAGGCGCCTAAACCTCTCGTCCCCTGGTATTCTGCAGGTACGGGCCTCAGCATGGAGGGCTGAGGAAGCCTGGTTATCTTGTACTAAAAATCACCATTAGTACCTCCCCCTGCCCCCAAGTCCATTCTAACGGTGCAGGAGGCAGAATGAGAAACAACAAAGGGAAGATCTAACACTTCCATAGCAAAATTAATAGACAAACGGCACAAATAGGGCATGTTATTGGAGAAAATGCCATTTTGCATGAAGGGGCAGATAAGGATGACTTTCATTTTCCCCTCTGGGCCGGGGAGGGGACTGCAGGGGGAGGTGGTGCATTCCATGTTTCACTATGACTCTCTGCCCCCTTGCCCAGCCCGCCACAGTGCGGCACACTTCACACGGACTCTGGAAGGGAGAGGAGCCCCTGTGGGGCCGGAGCGGCATTCCCATTGGCACGTGGGTGGTGGCGGGGATGGGGCAGTGGAGGGCAGGCGGGCAGGCAGAGAACAGAAAGTAATGTATGGGGAGGAGCAGGGAGGCCAAGGCTGCTGCTGGCAGAGCTTTTCAGATCGTGGGAGATCGTGGGAGGGGATCGTGGCCGAGGGAGGACCTGGCCTGGCCGGTGATTAATGGAGGCGCTTTGAAGGGACCAGGAAATTCCAGCTGAGAAAGGCGCCTGGGCATGCTGCATGCAGGGGCTCGACAGGCAGGACCAGCGGGGGACAGGAAGCTGCCACTCTCCTGCTCATTCTGTGCTTGCTTTTCGTTGCATATGCTGGTCCTAAAATGTCCCCAGTGTCCTTAGAGGGGCTCCTCGGCCACCTCTCAGGGTCACAGAGTATATTTTCTTATCCTTTTTTCTCTTCTGTTTGAAGAGAATTCCTGTGCGACCCCAGGGTGGGGATGTGAGGCTGGAAATGCTCTTCTGACTATTACTGCTATGAAAGTAGCTCTCGAACTCCAAACCTACCGGGCAGATTTAGGCAGTAACCTCTCCACCCAATCACCTTGGAATGAAGCGTCATCTTCTGCTTCTTTTGCATAAGTTAAGAAGATTGGTGTGGAGGCTAGAATGTCCCCACCTAGAGAGGGCCTGGGTGGGTGGGAATAAACTCCCACCACTTAGCCCAGGATGTGCTTGGAAGAGCAGTCCCTGCCTCCTTAGCTATGTTCTGGACCATTCCATCTCTCCCAGACTCTTCAGTGGTGAGCCATCTGACCACAAAAGACAGGGACATCAAGGAAGGGTCTTGTAATGTCTTCTGGGGTTTAAGCAAAAAGGACAAACCTTTTAGGATCTAAAACCGTAATGTCGGACCATCCCTTAGTTCTGATGGTGTCACTTGGGCAACGACCCAGGACCCAGCCTTAAAGAATAGACTGGAAGAACCTCCACCTGCGATCTAGAACTTCTCAGTCTACCCTATATCTGTGAGCATGCCCATGTGTCTCCTGCCGAATCGTGGGGTGCTGGAAGGGCTGGGAGTACGGGGCTGTCTCAGGCATCTCATTCAAATGCTTTGCTAGGTGTTCAGCCAGTGCACTCTGAACTAACTGCACTGCATGGAGGAAAAGAAGTCACAGTTCTAAGAACCTGTGCAGAGAATCCCCTTTCCTAGTTTGACCTCTGGTGGCAGATTTGTTTAGAAGCCGTTTGGAAATGAGTATCAGATGCAGCCAAAGCCAACTTCAGGGTGGGAGGGATGGCTCACATTAAGGTGATGTGCTTTAGAAGTAGCTGCAGTAAGAAGTCAAGAAAACATCCTGGTAAACTTTGCATGCAAGAGAGCGGCATGGCTGGGAGCCCCCAGAGCACACGCCAAAGCAAGGTGACCCTTGGTGTTTACAGAGTGGAGAAGCAGGCAGTAGAGACAGGGGAGCAGGAGGAGCGTGGGGGGCGGCTGGGGAGGCAGCAAGCACGAACCACACACGTGGGGAAGCCCAAATCGGCCATGCAGGCAAGGAAGGGCGATGCCATACCAATGGGCACGGGGCATCCAGTCCGTCCAGCCCTGGTAACCCCGGCTCCCCTTTCTCTCCTTTAAAACCTCGGTGTCCCTGTTCACAAAACCAACCACGATGATTATTTAGGTCAAGGCTGGCCAGCTCCGCTGAGGAGAGGAGAGGCCCAGTCCTACCCTGGCCAGGATGCAGGACCTTCCAGGCATCTGCAAATAGGGACTAATCCCAGTGGACTCCCCCATCTCCCAAATTCAGCATTTGTGCTCTCTTTGTGCTCCGGAGAATTCAGCTTTGGAACACGTACAAGCAGCCCCCTCTCTGCCAACCCCTTGTCCCTCTGCAGACTCCCTTGGAGCAAACACAGATAAACTGCAACATTAGTGTATCATACTTTTCAGAACCTTCACATAGATTGAAAAGGCACTGAGGAAGCCTGGCAGATGTGCCCCAAATCACAAATTGTTGGCTCATCTGGGACGGCTTCCTGTGGGGCATCTGTGCACCGATTCTGGTCTGCAGCTTTAGAGGTTTTAGCTGGATGCCTGGGGAGTGTTCGGAGGCTGCGTATTAAAAGCCCCTCATCTGGCCTTGTTCTGCCCAGTTTTGAGCATCAGTGGCCCCCAGGAGACGCCACCTCTGGTGTCCTGCATCCTGGCCAAGTAAGGATTCAGACAGCTTGAACTGCTGGCCCACAGAGATGGCCACAAAACGAAGAAGGCAAATCGGTGGCTCACAAATGCTACACAGGCTTCCAAAGCCACCCTGGAGGCTAGAGCTGAGGCCCTCTCCGAAAACCCCGTCCTTATAGTTCCCATACATCAGTCGTTCTGCATCTTCAAAGGAAAGGGATTCAAAGGAAGGGATTTAGCCAGAATTACTTGCAGCTGTGGTTTTAGGGCAAAACCAACAGCAGGCAGAATTTCACCAGTCAAATGAACGGGTAGATTTGGGTAGCATCAGTGTAGTCATTTGGTTCTCATCGCAGCTGATCTGCCTTCTTTGTTTCCAATTTGCAAACCTCAAGGAAAAAAACCAGAAGGATGCGAGTGATAAACAAAAACATACCAATGGACAGGGGGCATCTAATCCAGGCGCTCCTTGGTCTCCCTTATCCCCTTTAGGCCCTCTAGAGCCTTTCTTCCCCCTCTCCCCCTGTAAATAATGGTTTAGTCCAAGAAAAAAAACAACATCAAAACTTTAGGATCATTCGTGTGTTAAGGTTAGAGACAGAAAAAGAAAATTCAAGAGGGAAAAATAGATTCTCTTAAGTAGGATATTCTCCCCAATACGATTTGGGGTCAATACCCACCTCCCCCCTCTGAACACCTGGGAATTTGGCTGAGGCGGGTGGGAGGGGCAGGGGAGGAAAGCAGGGTGGGGGCACGGAGCAGCAGGGCTCAGAGCTGGAGGTGGAGGGACCAGCAGAGGGAAGATGCTGTTGGCCAGTTTTGCGAACACGAGGCCCACGCGGGACTGTGCCGAACACACTGGCTGGGGACCAACTGCCTTCTCTTCAAAGGTCTATATTTGAAAGGCTTTGGACTGCAAACCTTCTGTCTCAATTGTTTTTCTTCCCTTTGTCATTCTATTAGGAGGCAAGGTGATTTTATTCAGAGCCCTGGGGTGTGTGCATGTGTGTGTATGCGCATGAACACAGCATGTCTGATCATGTGCATGTACACGCTTGTGCATATGTGTATGTGTATGAGTGAGTGTGCAGGCATGTGCGTGTTGTGCATGTATGAATGTGTGTGGGTATGTGTTTGGGCATGTGTCCACACGTCTGTGCCTATATGTGTGTGTGCAGGTGTATCTAGGGCTCTTCAGTGGCCCCTGGTTTGAGAACTGAGCCCTCCCATTCTTAGTGTGTCTGGTTCATCCTGGTCTGAAGTCATAGACAGCTACTTGTTTATGGACGTGTCGGTTCAGGAAATTCATTTGTTTCTGACCAGCTTCAGTAAATATCATTTTTCTAAGTTGAATCCTGTTTTATATGTGTCAGGGTCTGTTTAAAGAAGGGCTATGGGGAATTCTTTGTAAAAGTGAAGCATCACCTCTGTAATGAATGTGAATTTGTAATTTCATATGTGTGTTTCCTTAAAAGGGGGCCAAGTGTGCCCCTAGGGAGTCTTCCTGGGAGCTTTCCTTTATGCAAGGCTGATTATCTAAAGCTCAGGTACTGCCACAGTGTCACTCCAGGGTGACCAGACCCTGAAGGGCGGGAAGCATATTGGTCAGAACAAAAGCCTGGAGTCAGAGCTGGCTCTGCCAGTTATTAGCAGCATGACTTTGGGAAGCTACTTAACCTCTTTGAGCCTCAGTTTCTTCACCTGTAAAATGGATACAATAACAGCTACATCAAAAACTTGTTGTGACGTCTTTGTGCACATTAAATGCATATAGTATGTGCTCAGTAAATGATAGCTGCTTCATAATGATAATACTTGTGATTATTATTTCTTGTTAGCCAGTATAGCTGTCAAAGCCGCTGCCAGAGAGAAGTCTCAGGGTCAGAGGTCTCACCACATGTAGTGTTCCTGCAGCATAAGTTCATTAGAGGAAGGCAGAGGAGTTAGAATAGTTTTGATGTTTCCCTGGATCTTTGGAAATCACTCAAATTTCTTGATTCCAGAGGTGGTCTGCAATTGTATTGTTCAAAATGAATTTTCTAAAACGCAAATCCTTACTTAGAAAATGACATGTATTTAAGAAGAAACAGGTATGTGTATATTAGGTGTAATTTGATTAGCTCGAAGATACGTCTGCCAACAAGAACATCGTGGCATGAACAATCCCCGAATGGCGGACAAGCAAAACCGCCAGCTCTCTGGATGGGGATGCCTCATGGCAAACACTCTCAGGAGTGCGGCCCCTCATTCTCTGGGTCGTGAGCACAGTTTCCTAATGGATAATGTGGGAAAGCTGCTGGCGGTGGGTGGTTCCAGGTCCCGATGATTTGCCCCAGGTAACAGAGAGTTGTGTGTTTCACAAGGGTACCTTGCACCATGGGGCGCTGTGTTCTCAGGGCCTGGGCAATCGCCCTGATCAGGTGGCCTTTGAAGATGTAAGAGTAGTAGCGTTGCCTGCACCCTGCCTGCCTCCCACCCCAGAGTGACATGAAACAGGCCCTGGCAAAGAGAGCATTCTAGCTGGTGAGGGGAAGGGGACAAATAAAGTCAAGGAGCAGCAGCTTCTTAGAAATATAAATAAATATATACAGAATGATTTTAGAGGAAACAAATTGGAAGCTTTGTGGGGGAGGGAAAGGGTGAGGGATATGGGATTATTATAATGCGGGAACATATCTACGGGGAGAAAGATGGAAGGAGGAAAGGAAGGAAGAGGCAGGCCCAGGCCAAAAGAGAAAGTGGAGGAGGGAGCGGTGAGGAGGCGGGATGAGCTTGGGGAGGCCAGATGCCCGCTTCTCAGCTGGCCAGCTTGCGGGCAGCTCCACGGTAATCCCTGATTTTCCCAATGATCAAATGGCTAGATTCACACCACCCTTTGTCCTTTGACTGATTTCTTATCCTTAAAGGTGGTCGCGGAGCCCTTGGTGACAAGGGCAGAGTGTTTTTTCCACGGGCATGTGTGTCCTTAGAAAGATCCCCATTTTGGGCTCTGGGATGGGGAAAATACGTCAAATAGTAGAGAGGGGAAAATGGAGAAGAAATATCTTCCCACTGACTCCAGGGGCCTCAGTGGATCACTCAACACTCTTGGTCCCTTCAGCATCCGAGCTGCCAGCCCCCGCCTCCTCCACCTGTGACAGGGGCGCTTGGCCGCCCAAAGCGCAGTCACCACCATTTGAAGGACTGACTTTGCAGCCTCCAAATGGCTCCGTGTCCCACTCAAGCCAACTGAAAAAGTGTTAAGAAATAGGTTTATAAATATTAATTGAATATTATAGAGAAAACCAAAACACTTTAAATTAGAAAGGAAGTTAGTATGCCAACTCAGAGGTGGAATGATCAAAGTTTTTAGGGGCCTGGATTCTTTGATGCTACACTGGGGAACATGCTTTCCAGCGTGGCCTAAGAGGCTGCCACGTATCTGGAAGCAGGTCTGTTTATTCCAGTGGTTTCTAGACCTGGCCTTCCTGTGGACTGGCTGGCAGGAATGGCTCTGTCTGCTCCCTCTTGTTTCTAGAATTTGTGGGACACATTGAGCTGCTTTGGACCAGTTGCCAGTGAAGAGTATTTAGGGGTACAGAAGTGCTCAGTAGATGTATCTTAAATGAAGAAGATGGAATTAATGGTGCCAGGTGTAAACACACAGATTCTGGCACTTTCTCTTCCTGAACTCGGTATCAGGTTCAAAGATGAGCCATGAGATCTGGGTTTTAGAAGCCACCTGCTCTGCTGTTCACTCTTAGTGGGAACTCGCGACATTTCATCATCATTCTGGGCCTAGTTTCTCCAACTGTTCCCCCCCCACCCCGGCCGCGTTTCCTTCTTCTCTACGAGCCTGGGCTTCTGACCCGCTGGCACATGTGCTTGGGCCTTTAGGGGCGCACTGGGAGCGCTGTGCAGCCGCAGTGGATGAGACATTCTAGAAAGGAACCCACAGGTCATCTCTTGGTCAGATGTAGTTAGATTATCCCTGCCGGGCCAGATGCCGAAGGCTGTGGCACGTGTCATGCACCATCACGTGGCTGTGGGTGCCGTGGGCCTTCAGTAAGCGTGTCCTGGTGAAGGTGGCAGGACCCAGAGGGACAGAAAGGGGCCTAAGCAGGCATGCTTCGTTTTGTAGTCCTGCCGACTCTTTGCAAGAGAAATAGCAGCTGTAGTATTGTTTTAAATGGGTTGGCTGCTTACAACAGCTGTCTGCTTGTTCTTGAAACTGGAATTTATTTTTGCTCTCACCAGTGGCCTGGAAGTCCTGGCAAAAGTAAGTTTCGGAAGGCGAGGACAAGGTAACAATGGATCTAAAAATGCCATTTAGGGGCCTGCTATCAGGGCAACCCAGAGAGAGCTGGACACGTGGCTCCCGTTACCGGACGGCCAGGCTACGTGATGGCCGCTGTGGGATTCAGCGTCCCCTAGTCATGCGGAAAAATCCACGTTTCAGTGGCAGGAGTAGGCCCAGGCTCCCTGCGTGACGTGGATTCGGCCCCCACTCTAAAGCCTTTCAATTTAGGATGATTTATCAGGAAAAGCTGTGTTTGCCCTGTTGAGTCAGGAATCCCCATTTGATCATTCCACCCATTATGAAGACATTAGTACCCAGAGCTGCGGAGTGCAGCTGACTCACCCGGTTTCCTTTGTCCCCGGGTGGTCCGTGTAAACCCTGCAATAAATCAGAGAAACGAAGACACACTAATGAGAAAACACAGGATGTCGTAGAGTTCTGGGCTCATAAAGCTCCTTACCGATGCCTACTTCATCAGAGACAGGTTTAATTATCCCCATTTTACAGAGGGGGACAAGGAAGCCGATCATTCAAGGAACCTGACCTAGAGGTAAGTGACGAGTTACGGGCAAAGCCAAGGACGCAGTTCTAATTTCCTGGCCCTACAGCCTGTGCCCTGGCCTACGGTGTTCTTCTGGGGTCGCTCACGCAGGTGAGTGGTGAGTTCTGAGGACACGGTCGGGGAGCAAAGAACGCTCTTGGCAGAGGAGAGCGCCCCTGGCTCTCCTGCCAGGCCTCGCTAGCAAATGGACTCAGCAGCCCCTCAGACCCTCTTTGCAAGGTGCAAACTGCTCTCCATTCTTCAGCTAGGGGATGGGCCACAGCAGACGGGCCTGGACGCGCCTACTCAGCCAGAGCATGCGCAATCTTCTAGCGATGGGAAACACACATCCAGGCTCTTGCGGGCAGACGCTCAACTTTTATAACACAGCAACATGGAAACATGCTTCAGGTGGAAAGCCAAGTCTCTTCTTCAAGGCCAGCTCCCCCGGGAAGCTGCTCTGGTCCTGAAGCATCTCCTGTACCACAGAGGCCTGGATTTGATTCTGCCCCCTCCTCGAGGGCAGGGGCTGTGGCACATTCACCTGTGAGGCCCTGCAGCATCTGACTCAGAGGCTTACGGTGCGAGGGGCTCAGGATGGGTTGCTACATCTCGGCAGATGGCCCCATGGCCGAGGACCTGGTCCCCTAACAGTGCCCAGGAGGGCATTCTAGCCCATCACCAGTTGCCTCTTGGTGTTATAGACGGGAGAACTCTCCCAGGGCCCCAGAGTCTTGCTCCTGGCACTGGGCATTCTGTGTGACAGTGTTTCTGATGGGGGCAGGGGTGGGTGGCGAGAAACCTCTGGTCCCGTGAGACTCACAGGAAGCCCGGCTGCTCCCGTTGGTCCTGTCATCCCAGGGTCTCCTTTGCTGCCCTGAAATGGGAGAAAGAAACCCATGAATCCTCCCTGACATGGTAACAACCTTCCGTCACCGTTTTCTATTTGGCTGGGAAACCCAGGAAACCCCTCCAGCCCCCTCAAAGAGCGCTCTGGGAAGCAAGTGCCATGGGGAAGGCAGGGGGCTGCCGGTGTGAACTCTGCCCTGGGGGCCCCTCACTCTCCCTCCAGCAGAGCTTTCCCCAAGGCCCTCAGGAAGGACTGGGCAGCCTCCAGGGCCTGTCTGGCCTGACGCAGGGAGCAGGGGAGGAAGAGGAGGAGCAAGGAGGCAGGGAAGAGAAGGGAAAGAAAGAGAGCTTTGATTTCTCCTCTGCGGCCTCAAGGGTCACCCGTCACAGCAGCCATCCTGGTTTTCCCACGTAGTGGATGATTTGAGAGAAGCCTACGCCCCTCTGCAGAGGCTTCCCACCCTCCCCGCCCCTGAGGCAGAGCCAGCAAGGTGGCGGATGGAGGGGCAGAGCTGCCCACGCAGGCAGAGAACTCAACGATGCCCACTCAGGAGACCTCCAAGCCCTGGGTGTGTGGACATGAGGGATGGCGGGAAGAGCTGATGGGGACAGACACACAGCTCTCCAGCCTCCGCTGAGCCAACGCCCTTCACCTGCACCCTCCCTGCACGTGCCCACTCCACGAGGGAGGGGCCGGAGCTCTGCAGGTCATGTGACATGGCCAAGGTCACTGACAGTGGCTGTGGGAGCTGAGCCTAACGCTAGAGCCTCCTGACTTCTTGATGTCCTCCAGGAATTTTCTAAACACCACCTGGTGCTCTGTTCTGTGCTGTTTCCCTAAATCGTTACGAAGTTTAGGCATGTCTGGTGATAACAGTGTCTGGGGCCTTGCCAGACTGGACCTGTGATGGATGCTAGGTGACCAGAAGCCAAAGTAGGAGAAGCTGTCCCCTGCATCTCTCCAGGTCTTTGTCCACGCTGAGCTACACAACCAGCCCCCCGCCCCCCAGGCCTGCCTGGCTCCCCCACACTGCGGCGAGGATGACTAGGAGCAGAGACGAAGGGAGAAGGGGACGAGGGCTGAGGCTCCTGGGGCAGTTGTGGGGCTGACAGGGTCCCCGGCCTGCCCTCCCTCCTGGCCGCCCAGGCTCCAGGCTCACCCTCTCGCCCTTTGGTCCCGCTGGGCCTGGAACTCCAATTGGTCCTGGAGTACCCTGGGGAGCGGAAAGAAAGCAGAGGTGAGGGTCACCACGCCAGGGAGCCCTGGGTGCCCCGCCCGACGCCTGCAGAGGAGCAAGGCCCGAGGCCCAGTTTTCAGGGTTGGCGAGGCCAGGCTCGTTCAGGGCGGCCATTCTGCTGGGCCGTGATCCTCTTTGGGTGTGGGGGCCTCGGGGGAGAGCACACCTCCCCTTGCCCTAGAGCCAGATTCATGGAATGAAACCCTTTCTCTTCACAACCAAGCTTGCCAAGGCTGAAAACGGCAGGAGAACGGTTGCTTAGTTTGCTCCCAGAAGCACGGAGGAGGGAGTTGACCCATCCCAGGGGCAGGGGCCAGGGCCGGGGCTGGCGCCCCTTTGCTGTTGCAGCTCCACATGCAGCGGGAGGGTCTTCATGCCACAGAGACCGATGCGGGCGCACACAGAGGCAGGCGTGAGAGGGTCATTCAGCGGCGCCCGCCCCACCCGCCCGCCACAGACTCCTTCATGGCCTCATCCTCTGGCTGGGGCCTTCTCTGTCCAGGCCCAGGCTTGTGGAACAGGCTGAATTGGGCAGTGACTTGGGGCGCCCCTGTCTGCATGGACGCTGACCTGGCGGGGAGGTGTGTCGTGAGCTACCCTAGGGCCGCGGGAGCTGGGGACGCTGGAGCCACAGGAGCACGGGGCTCAGACACAGCAGGGCTTGCCACCACCCAAGCCAACAGCTCCCCAGGTCACAGCCTGGCCGGACCAAGTGTCCGTGTCAGCCGAGGACCTGAGGACGTGGGGTTGGGCTGCGGCAGTGTCTGGTGCTCTGAGTGTGGCTGTGAAAGGCGGGGAACGATTCGCTTCAGGGGAAACGAAAAGGGCAACATGATTCTTCTGTCCCCTTGTGCCACTGTGAGGGGAGCAGGGAGGCGGTGGGCACCCGTGGCAAGAGCACAGCAGAAAGTAAAAGGAGCCAGGTCATGGGGCTGCCTCCAGCCCTGCAGTGGAGGCCCACAAACTCCTGGACGTTGGAGGTGCCCTGAGCCCCCTGAGCTCCGTTTCCCACCTGCAGCACGAGAGTCCGCTCGGCCGCTGCCAGGTCTCAGGGCGTGGCATCTGGTGCCGAGCCCGACACCCGGGATGTGCCCAGTAGATGTTAATGTTGGCAGGGCAGGGTTAATTTTTTCTACAGACGTTTTCCCTTAAGGTTGTAATAGTGATTTGATGAGGAGAGCGAAGCCCCAGGTGCAAGGGGACAGTATACGAGTTCCGACTGCTTCCCTATCCGACGTGAACGGGAGAGCAGGTGAGAGCAAAATCTTGGTTTCTCTGATTCCAGCCCTGGTCGTCCCCCTGCCCTGACCTGGCACCTGCGCAGGTGTGTGCTAGGTGGGGGGGGGAGGGAGGGCCTGTGGTGGAGGAACAGAGCCCTGATAACGTGCGTGAGAGTCTGTGATGTCGCCTGTGTCAATGTGTGGGGGGAGGGGTCTGGAGAGGTCTGTCACCTCCGGCCAGCCATGTCACCTCCACTTCTTTATGAGGGCACAGAACAGGCATTCACAGGATGAGGCTCTGATGGGGGTCACTCTCGGCCCTCCTACCTCCAAAGGTATCTGTGGCATCAGCTGTGAGTCCCCCAGACCCCTGGGAAGGCCCACTGTGGCTGTGCTTCAGTGCGTCCTCCTCCTCTCTCCCCTATCTGCGTGTCCTGCCCTCCACACATGAGCCCCTGCGACGTCTCGCCTCCCCTGGTGTCGCTCCAGCCAGCTCATTAGAACTCTGTGCTCTGGCCAGGCCACGCAGACGTGGCCCTGGAAGTGGCCTGCAGGGCTCCTCCCTGGCGGGGAGGGCTGGGCGCACAGGCGGCTCTGGCTCTGGCCCCCGAGCTGGGACATCCAGCCCCAGCCCTCAACGGTCAGCACTCTCAACACCGTGGGCAGGTGAGGGGCTCGGCCAGGGGCTCCACCCTTCTGACAACCTCACAGGTTGCTCAGGGAAGGACCAGAAGGTGGACAGGAGGGACATTCTCTCTGATCCTTTGTTTGTCACAAGCAGAAGGGCCAGGTGCTTTCTAGTCGAGAGTATACAATGCCTAGTTTGCGGAATCAGGAAGCACGGAGAGAGGGGGCCCCAAGTGTCGCTCACTTGCCCTGCAATAACCCCCTTGCTGGGTGGTGGGACTGCTGCGGTGCCACAGGCAGTGGACGGTGACGTCATAACGTGCCCACAGGATGCTGAGCTGGGACTGGCCTCTGTGCTCCCATGTGCTACACCTGACCTCAGCCTTCCCTGCTGTCCCACCCCACACACCAGACTGGCGGCTGCACAGGACTAGGACGCCCTCGTGGGCAGACAGGAGATGGACAGAGTTCAGAGCATGGAGACAACACAGCATGACGGGCACATACAGACACTGTTGTGTTTGGCGGGGACAGTCATGTCCCAGACCCGGGGCCAGGCACCCCGGCTGGACTCCGCCTGCCTTCAGGATGAGGGCCAGTGGGGCTCGAGCGGCCTCCCATCCCACACCTGGCAGAGGTGAGGTCCCTGGGTGCATACATACTGTGGACAGGGGAATTCAGGTCAAGGCCATCTTTGTTCAAGAGGCTTGAAAAAGCATTTCTCAACTGAGCACATGGGGGTGGGGTGAGGAACCTGCGGCCTCAAGGCCACATGGGGCCCTCCAGATCCCCAAGTACGGCCCCTCAACTGCATCCGAACTTCACAGGACAAAGCTCTTTATTAAAAGGATTTGTTCCGTAGAATTTGGATTCAGTTAAAAGGCCGCATGCAAGGATCCAGAAGGCCACATGTGGCCCCGAGGTACCTTTCTGGTGTTGGTGGTGAGACAAGGCATGACTCACTGGGAAACGAGGCCACAGCGGGACAGACGAGAGGGATCACAGGCTGGGCACGGGGTGGGGCGGGTGAGGGGTGTTGAAGTGACTCACCGGTGGCCCAGGCCTGCCGTCCAAACCTGAAGCTCCCTGGACGAAGGGCACAGTGTGACCAAAAGAAGGGGACGAGAGGAACGGGAGGGAGAAAAGGGAACAATGGGGAGGGAAGAGGTGAGTAAAGCAGTGACTCTGGACAGACATAAATGCCGGTAATCAAACAATGGAGAAATAAGCTTGGGACGACAGGGAGTGGTATTTACATGGAAACCAACAAAAACATGGAGACGCTGAGTGCAGTGGCCGGCTACTGAGCAGGCTGGGCAGGGGTCGGTGCCGACGGCCACTCTGTCCCTCCACACCCCTGCGCCCCTCTCTCCTTTTATCCCCTCTCAGAAACCTCTCTCCCAGGGGCTTCAGTGCTCTGGGGAAAGGGAAGCAGAAGCGTTTCCTGGGGAGATGTCTTAGAATCAGAGCTGTGCATCCTCCCCGGGGTGGGTTTCCCTGGAGGCCATGTTCACGCGGAGGGCCCAGGTGAGGGTGGTCCTCCCAGTCTCTTTGCATCCCCATTGAGACCAGGCCATCCTGCCCTACCAACCCGAAGGGTGCAGCCCTGGGTGACAGCACCTGGTTTTGAAATCTGGGTACAACCTGGCCTGCATCTGCTTCAGCTGGGTGGGAAGAGTTAGCTCTCGAATGACAATACTAACGATGCCGGACATTTCCCTGGCAGTTTATCGTCTGCAAAGCTCACCCCAAACTCAGTCCACTCATATGCTCCCAGGCAAGGGCTCTTGTATAGAAAAAGGCTTTGGAGGCAGCTGACTGGGACAGAGGTCTCAGGCCATGCACCCCCTGGAGCGACCTGGCAGCAGGTGGGGAGCTACTCAGACCCTCTTGCTCCCCGGCGCCCTCACACCTCGCTGTCCAGTGATGCACACGGTGGCAGCAGAGCTCTCGCTCCAACGCTGGGTTACGAAGCTGTCTCTGAAACCCACCCAGGGAAACCAGGGGGACATTTTTCTAATGATTCTAATATGACAAATCAGGGAGAAGGCCGTGGGGATACCTAGCCCGGTCAGGACTGAGTTCTTGACAACTGTTTCCGGCTGAGCCTCAGCCTCAGGATTTCCAGGGTCAGGTCGGGGGCAGCCCCTAGAACAGGGAGGGCAAGGAGCCGCTTCCTCCTGGGGAAAGGGTGTTGGGCAGGAGGACTCCGCAGGGACCGTTCTCAGTTTAAGACCACATGATTCTGGGACTGAGCTGGACTCACCAGGCTAGAGAGCTGTGGTTCTCAACCCCGGCTGCATGTTCGAATCTCCTGGGGTGATGTTAAACAATACCGTTGCCTGAGCCCCACCCCGGCCCCATTCGACCAGAGTCTCCCAGGGTGGGGCCGGGTAATGGGATGTTTGCAAAGCCCCCAGGTGATGCCAGTGCACAGCCAGCGTTCAGAACCACTTCCGTAGGGCAAGTGGTGGGAACCCAGTAGGGTACGCCTGGAAAAACAGGAGGCTACTATGTGAATAAAACATCTGGTGAAGCCTGAAAACAGAACTTTAGCTACACAGCATTAAAACTAAGTTGTCTTGAGAGGTCTGGAGCAGAAGGCACAAATTAGAAGCTTTCAGGCCATATGTGGGCCTCTGACATATTCTGTATGGTCTGCAGTATTGCAAATCATTTTGATCTAATGTTAGAAAAGGAAGAGATTTCACATAAAACACCAGATGTTCAGCTTCCTTTCAAAAATTGGAAGATCCGGAAATACTGAACCCTCCTTCCTCCAAGGCAACAGTCATCTGAGCTGAGAAAGGGCTGCTCCCCTTAAGAAGGGATACATGGTCTTTAGTGAACCATAGTCCCCACCACTCCCTATTGTCTCCCTCAAGTCCACGTTAGTTGCCCTCTACGAATATGCTTGTTCTGTTGTTTCCTTAAGCTAGAAAATGTATTTCTCTGCACCCATGCCTCTATCAAAAGTTGGAAAATTAATGATAGACTGGGTAGTTTGTCTTTGATCTGGCACTTTCTTTGTTTATGTTACCTGTTTGGTCTCTGTGCCATTTTATGTCAACCCCGGACTGAATTCTCCAATGTTCACTAGGGCTGTTGGGGCCATGAATGTGGACAAAGAGAGATTTGTGGTCGTGTGGGGGCAGGAAGGCTCTTTAATAGCTGGAAGTACTTCATCATTCCGGACACAGCTTAAGACATGGGAAAATGTCTGCTAAAGTCATCAGTTTTCTGTAGTCTGTCAAGTGAATCAGCTTCTTAAATATTCCTACATCCACTGCATTAATGAGGGTGGAATCATCCCTTTTGCACTGGCCGCTTGGTTGCTGTGACTACATTAACCAGACCCTCAAGCCCTGCCAAGCAGGGGTGATTGGGCTTCCCATTGATCCCCGCTCTTTATGGCTACCTGGGCTGGGAACTGGCCTCGGGCCAGTGACAGAGGAGGCCCGAGTGGCTGCAAAGAGCCCTTTAGCAAGGCCACGGCCTCTGTCGAGTAGCAGCTGCCAGCCTGGCCACCAACTTCATATGTGACCTCAAGTGACTCTCTTCTCTGGGACCATCGGTGGAAATGATGAGATGGATCCCTAATGTCCCTTCCAGCTCTTGAAAAGCAAACCAAAAGAGCGCCCACCTCGGTAGGGCGTGGGGGGTGTGGAGCCGGGCTCCAGGATGGGTGGTGGGATGTGCTCACCTGGACACAGGTGAGGCAGTGCAGAGGCCACTGGCCCACTGGGGCCTGGAGCCAAGGGGCTCACCCAGCCCCACATCGGGAAGTGTGGGTGCTTCCTGAATAGCTGCCGCCTCTGACGGGGGGACTCCAGCCCTGGGCAGGCTGAGATAGGACACTTCCAGGAACCCGGGAGATGAGTGGCCTTAGCCTGTGGGGACCACAGAATCTGACCTTTTCCCTGCTTTCCTGCTTGGCCAGTGCTTAAGAGGAGAGAGCAGGGCTTGTCTTAGGGTTCATCTGGACAGGCAGGACCGATGGAGAACAGCCCATTGTCCCGCTGCTCCCAAGCCCTCCCAGCTCGGCCCCCATCAGGGCAGCAGGCTTTACTGCCATGACTCAGGCCGTTCTCAGGCCACTCCTGGCTCTCCTGCGGGGTGCCCTTTGGGGTGGGGAGCCTCCCTTATTCAGCTTCGTGTTCCCCCGGCACCAAGGCAGGGCCTGGCCCGGAAGAGGCCCTCAGAAAGAGAGAGGATTAGAGTCTAGGGTCTTGCCCAGGTGGGAAAGCAAAACTGCAGGGAGCTCTGGAATGTGCAGACTTTGGAACTGTGAGCTTTCCAGGGGCCTCTCCTGGGCCCGGCCCAGCACCCTTGGCCCACTGGGACGCCCGCTGGGCTCCCCACCAGTCTTGCTGGGCTGGTACTCACAGGTAGTCCCAGGGGCCCTCGGTCTCCTTTTTCTCCTTGGACACCCTTCTCTCCTTTCGCTCCGTCCAGCCCTGCTTCCCCCTGGAGGAAAGGGAGACAGGATGAGATCACAGAAAGGCACGGCCTGGACGCACGTCCTTGCACTCTGGGGTCCTGCAGACTCGGTTTGTAGAGGAGGGAAGAGGTGGAGGTGGCTGGGCCAGGGGTGGCAGGCAGGGGACTCCAAGAATCCCTGAATTCTTAGCCGGCCTCTGCTTCAGTTAGTGTCCCCTGTGACCCCGAGGTAACTGTGAGGCCCTCAAGGGAAAAGGGACGGATGAAGTGGGGACAAACCCACAGGGCAGTTCCAGGCCAGGCTTTGGCCTAGATGCCTATCTTCATGGCTGGGAAACTGGGATCTTGCACAAATTTGCTGGCAGGTGCCTGAAATGCCACCACCAGAGCTCTGAGGCTCACAACCTGGTTAGGAGAAGAAACTGCCCCAGAGTCCCTTGAAGAATAGCAGGGCAGGAGGCAAGGGCTGCTATCATGCCAGCAGCTTCCAGCCTCCAGCCTCCTTATTCATTTGAAATGCTTGGGGGAGATGAGGAGAGCCCCAGCCCACCGTCCACTGGGCTTGCTCTGGGGAGGGGTCCACGCTGTGTCGCTGTCTCTCTCCCACTTATGCTCAGGTGAGTGAAGGGTCTGGGTCAGGTTTGACGGGAAAAGGATTTCACTGTTTTGCTGAGAGTCTAACCTGTCCCTGTGGGGTCATCTGATGGATGGGGAAAGTCTGAATCCAAAGCAGGCCAGGTGTCAATGACGAATGTTAAAGGACAGGTAGGACTCATTCTGCCCTGATTGTACCCCGCTGGCCGGAGTGTCGCATGATGCCATTTAGGGAAAAGAGTCAGCTGGGCCTCTGATGCACTTTCCCTCTTTTCTGCTGTCACTGATGCAGCCCCCTCCCCACCTGTCACATGACCTCATCTTACCTTTGGTCCAGGAACACCCTGGAGCCCCTGCATTTGGAATCAAAACAAGGTGCATTAGAACTGCATTTCTGGTCCACGAGTTGGACCGCAGAAGAGCAAGGGCTTTGGGTGCAGGATGTGGTCTGGGGTCCCTGCATGTGAGAGGTAGAAGGGAATACAAAAGGGGCTTCCTGGGGTGCAGTCTGAGCTGGTCTTACTTAGCCAGGGGCTGACCAAAAATCTCTCTGTGGCCCTATGATTGACCCAGAGTCTGATCAAGGGAAGATTCAGTGGTAATTCAGCAAAAATTAAATTAATGTATGCAAAGCACTTAGAACAGTGTCTGGCACCTAGTAAGTTTCAATAAATGTTGGCTACTGTCGTTATTGCTACTATTGCTTCTACCAACGACAACAGGTGACACACAGTGCCTTGGGGACCGTGAACCATGAAAGGCATGGTCTAGTATCTGCTGGCTCAGGGTGCCTGGCGGCCTTAGGTGCCATGTAGAGGGGACCCACGGTTACATTTCTGTAACCAAGGGAAGGCCAATCCTGTGGGGCTGGCTTTGAGTGGTCACTTTTTATTTTAGTCCCGCTCTTCTTGCCAGCTGGTTAGCAGGAAGGGGGAAGGGGAGGAGCAAATGTCTGATGGCAAAGGGTGAAGTAAATGTTGGGCAGAGCCTAGTGACAAAGGGACCCTGGGGCTACTATGCCAGTCAGCTGTTTCCAAGGAACCAGGCAAGGCCTCGCTCCTCAGTGTCACTTGGATGATGCTATTTAACATGGGAGGGGAGAGGGGCAGGGAGGGGTTTGTGGACAAGAAAATCCCGCCCTGGGAGAAGGAGGTGATGGTGACTAAGGCTGAGGTTGAGCCCAGTGACCGTCAAGGGGAGGGGATGTTAGGGACCTGGCCACAGTGGACTGACTACTGATAAACCCTCCAAACTTACCGGAGGTCCAGGAGGCCCCTCTGGCCCTGGTGGCCCAGGAACCTAGAAACCAAAGGGGCGTCCTGTTACACTTGAAGTGGCCCTCTGTCCTGACATAGCCCGGGGTCCAGCTGGGGACCGCAAGGCCAGGGGAGGACAGGACTGCCCAGCAGAGGTTGTCTCTCCCCCACAAGGTTTAGAACAGGTCAGAAACTCATAGCAACCCACTGGCCTGCTCAGTGCTGAAAAACAAAACATCACCAGGAAAGGTCCCCCAAATATCTATTCTTCCAGATTTTCTTAAAAACAAAACAAAACAGAATTTCTAGCAGCACTAGGCTCTTGTTCACGCTTGGCAACAATTGCCTGGAGTGGAATAACAGCCTTCCCTCAAGGTGGGGCAAGAGATCTTCAGTTTACCCCAGTCCCCACTACTCCCTATTGTCTCTAAAGCCCAGACCTTTTACAGTCATTTGTTGCATGTCTGGCCCTTGTAGCATTTGAGTTTGAGACCCTGGGCTTAGAGGAGCAGACAATGGTTATCTGGAATGGGGGAGAGACTGAGATGTTTCTGAAGAATCTTTCTCAAGTCCCCCCAGGTTCATAACAGACAGGATGGGGACTGCCAAGCTCAGTACCCTGGAGGGCAGGTCATAGTAGAAGAGATTCTGGCTGGACGGTGAAGATGGGGAAGCCCAGGGCTATCTTCTCTGTGGAGGATGGTGCCCCTGGCAGAGTCTGTCTGATGAGGGCAGACGTCCATTTGTCTACAGGCAGCCCCTGCCTGCTCGTCTCTGAGCTGGCCACCCCACCTCAGCTTTGGGGCTCTTCTCAGGTGCCTCGCCGTCCCAGGGGTAGAACCCTGCCCAGGGCAGTTGCTCCTCTGCCAGGCCCCCACAGAGGGAGTCCCTACACTGGGCAGACAGGTGGACCCTAACGTCCCCTGGACCTGTGGACCTTTGAGCTCCACGATTGTCTCTTTGTAGAGAACATACTCTTTGGAAACTCTACTTTCTTTTAAAACATTTACTGTTTTTTATTCTTATTGTAAATAAGTAATCATGTATCTTGATCATGGTGGTGGTTAAACAAATCTATCTATACACGTATTAAAATTCACAGAATTGTACACACTCCCCAAGAAGTCAATTTTACTTGTATGATAATTTTAAAAATAAAAAAGTTTAAAATATTTAAACACTTTGCTGCATAAAATGTATTCGAACATATGTGTGTGTGTGTGTGTATATATATATATATATATATACACATATTTTTTTTCTGGAGACAGGATGTTGCTCTGTTGCCTGGGCTAGAGTGCAATGGCGTCATCATAGCTCACTGCAACCTCAAACTCCTGGGCTTGAGTGATCCTCCTGTCTCAGCCTCCCAAGTAGCTGAGTAGCTGGGACTACAGACATGTGCCACCACACCTGGCTAATTTTTCTATTTTTTGTAGAGATGGGGTCTCGCTCTGTTGCCTAGGTGGGTCTTGAACTCCTGAGCTCAAGCCATCCTCCTGCCTCAGCCCTCCACAGTGCTGGGATTACAGGTGTGAGACACCACACCTGGCCTGTATATACTTTTGATGATATTATATACGCATATATGTATATATTTATGGTATACATACGTATAAAATTTGGTTTTCTGCTATTTTTCGCTTAGTATGAAACCCATTTTTTATATTCTCCCCACAAGCCTCCTTGTGCTGGTGGTGTGCTGAGTGGAATGCAAACCAGTTATTATGTAGCAGGGCTCCGTCCAGTGCTGGCACAAGGACAGCTCTCAGACATGGTGACTATTATTACTATTGGTGTTATTACCACAAATTATTTAATGCTTTCCTTCTTGTTAGAAATGTAGGATGTTTCCAATTTAAATACTTTTGGGAGGAACATTTTTATGTATAATGCTTTTCCTGAATTCAGGATCATTTCTTTAGGAGGCTATCCGTTTCTTTTTGTTTTTGAGACAGAGTCTTGCTCTGTCGCCTGGGCTAGAGTGTCGTGGAGTCAGCCTAGCTCACAGCAACCTCAAACTCCTGGGCTCAAGTGATCCTCCTGCCTCAGCTTCCCAAGTAGCTGGGACTACAGGTGCATGCCACCATGCCCGGCTAATTTTTTTCTATTTTTAGTAGAGACGGGGTCTTGCTCTTGCTCAGTCAGGCTGGTCTCGAACTCCTAACTTCAAGTTATCCTCCCACCTCGGCCTCCCAGAGTGCTAGGACGAGAGGCGTGAGCCACCGTGCCCGGCCCTGGAGGCTTAGCATTTCTAAACAAGTAACATGAACATTATATAATCAAGTCTGTTTCACTAAATTAAGACAGGGCTTGGTGATATTGAAGGGTGATGGGGCCGGGAGACTTTGTCAGGAACAGGGCAGGCCTGGTGGTCTGTCCCCCACCTCTGAGGCGGTATCTGGGTTGTGCAGGCCCTGCCACCAAACATCCCCTTCCTCACGCATCCTGGAGCTCTGCTGCCTCCCTGATGCTGCCCCTGGAGCCCACAAATGTGCCTGATTCTCTCCCGGCTCGTGAAAACACTGCCTCCATCCTGACTATTTCTCACTCAGCTGTTCCTCTTCCTCTCACTACCACACTTCTCGAGTAAGGCCTCTACCTGGACAGCCTACCTCTGAAGCTTGGCAGCAAACTCCTACGAAGTCATCAAGACCCTGCCCAGATGGTACATCTTTGGGGATGCTCGCCTGATTCCCTGAGCTGCTGCCACTCCAGTGCCCATTACTGGGGCCTGCAAGCGCAGAGGGACGGTTCTGTTTATTTCCTGCCTCCCGACTCTAGCACCAGGGCAGACGCACAGAGGCACTCTGTGAAGGCCGCTGAGGGACATGGTTAATGGGGGACTAGTGCGGTCCTGAGGCTCAGTGCCTGCCCGGCTGTGGTGCTCAGCGAACGTTCAGCTTCCTGCCCCTCCTGTGTCAGGCAGTTGTGAGTTTCATTCTAAAGCACAGAAATGCTGTCTGCTTCCTGGAGAGACTATCGTTTGACAAGGCCCCTGTCAAATACTCTCCCGTGACGCAACAGGAAGAGCAGGTGGGACCTACCTCTGCTCCCTGGTCACCTTTCTCCCCGGCTTCTCCTTTCTCGCCCTGCGGGCACAAAACAGCACAGTGTGAATGCCAGCCCATGGGGAAGCCTGGACACAGACACACCCTCACATCTGTGATGAACTAGACTGGGACTCGGCTGGTCTAGGTGTCAGCAAGGAACCCTGCAGAGGATGTGGAGGTGATCGGCCCAAAGGACAGAGGACTGTCATCCAAAGGGCAGGGGCTGCCATCACTGTCTTCAGGAATCTGAGGTTCTAGCATGTGGGAGGGGAGGCTGATACTCCTCATGGGCTCTGCAGTGGACAGACCCTCGGGTGGACCTGGGACTTGTTTCTAAGCCATAGAGTGGGGCATATGGCAAAGGTGATGGGACGTCACTCCTGTGATTATGTTACAAATTTCAACACATGGCTCTGTCTTGCTAGTATGAGACACTAGAGAGACCCTCCTGCTGGTCTTGGCCTTGAAGAAGCCAGCTGCTGTGACGTGAACTGCCCCCTGTGGGCACGGCCACATGGCAGGGAACTGCAGATGGTCCCTAGGCGCTGAGGGTCTCAGCCCTACTATAGCAGGGAGCTGAATTCTGCCAACAGCTGGTGAGCTTGGAAGAGGACCCCAGCTCCAGTGCAGCTGGCTGGCACCTTAACCGCAGCCTTGTGAGACCCTGGGCAGGGGACCCGACGATGACGTGCCTGAACTCCTGACCCACGGAAACCATGTGGCATTAAATGTGTGTTGTTTCAAGCCACTAACTTTGCGGTGATTCGTTGTGCAACAATGGAAAATGAATATGGCTCCAGAGGCCAGAGCCTCTGACGGGCCAATGCAGGGAGGCTGGTGAGGACACCTCCACGCCACATCCAGGAGCGCTCCCTCCACCCCGGAGCTGCCCCACGATGGACAGGCCATGTCGGAAGGCTGTGGGCTGCCTGCCTGTCCGGCTGGCGAGGGATTCCTGTACTGGGTCAGGCTTGGGACTGGTTGACCTCTTAGGCTCTCTCCACTTCTAAGAGGAGAATTCTGACCTGAACATTCTAGCACCTTTGAGCTAGGCTGATGCTTCAAGGCAGAGGCTACCATGCTGTGAGCCGCGGAAGCCGGGACCCCCGTTTACACCCCAGTGTAGTAGCTGCTCATCCAGAGACCCCCAGGCGGGGCAGGCAGGCTCGGGGTGAGTGTAGGCTTGTTGCACAGCCAGGCACCCCCTAGGCTGGTGGCCCTAGTGAGCTGCTTGCTGACAACCTTGACACCCAGCCCTCTCGCCTTACTGTAAATCCCGGGAGCCCAATCGGGCCAGGCAATCCTGTCGCTCCGGGTCTGCCTTGGCCACCTGGTTCTCCTTTCTCCCCAGTTGGGCCGTCTAGACCCTACAGATCGACAAAGATCTCTGTTAGTCAAGCTCAAGTCATCATGCTGAGCCTCTGACCAACTGTGGCATGCACACGTGGCTCCCTTGCTCCAAGGGTGAGTGTCTAGGATGGTGCCCATTTTACAGATGCAAACCACTGACGCCCAGAGAAGGCTCCCAGGTCAAGTCAGCAGCCTAGCTGGACTTGGCTAAGGCCCCTATTTTGTGCATGCAACCTCTTCTGGGTATAGGGCTTCTGCATGCTTTCCAAAGAGGCAGTTTTACACTCACGATTTCATCTCTTTCTCAACAATCCAGTGAAGTATCCAGGGCAGGCATTACGATCCCCATTTTAGAAATGAAGAAACTGAGGCTCTGCAAGTCTCAGTGACTTTCCCAAGGACATAGACAGATGGTGACAAAATAGGACTCAGGTCTCCTGAGTCAAACTCTGGCCTTCATAAATGAGCAGCTTGAGGGGAAACTGAGTGAACCCCCTGCCCCCCCATCCCTGACCCCAGTTTTCTAGCCCAGGCAGCAGCTGGCACCATGCAAGGCCATGCAAGCTAGCTTCACGCTTGAGGGGGACTCACCGGTGAGCCTGCTTGTCCCATGTCCCCCTTCTCTCCCTTCTCTCCTGGGCTCCCTGGGTGCCCGCTTTCTCCCTTCACTCCTGGAGGGCCGTCCTTCCCCGGGGGTCCTTGGGGACCAGGGGGGCCCATGTCTCCTGGTTTGCCTCGAGGTCCCTTCAGAAAATACCAACAATACTTCTTAGACACAGTAATGGAGAAGAGAGGAGAGAGGGAGAGAGAGCAGGAAGGAGAAGGAGGCCCAAGGGACTCGGCTCTTGGGTGCTTGCCTGGGTCTGCCTGGTTCCTCCTGGGGCCTGGTGCTGGCCCTCTCCCCGCCCTCCCTCCCTTCCCCACAGGGCTCACGGCAGGGCCTGTTCCAGAGCCCTCCTGCCCCCAACCCCCACCCCAGGGTGAGGACCGTTTTCAGAGGTTTGCCTGCAAGACATCTGTCTGTACCTTTTCCCCATCGTGTCCCGGAGGGCCTGGCAGTCCGACCTCCCCCTGTGGCCAGAACAAGGGAAGGTAACTCTGAGCAGAGGTCGTGACAATCGTCAGTCACCCCGTGCTTAACGCTGAACGTGCCAGGCGTCCCTCTCTGCACTTTCCCACAGAGCCGGCTCGTTTAATTCTCACTGCGTCCCTGGGAGGTGTGTGCTCACATGGCCTCTGTTTTAACGGTCAGGACCCCAAAGCACAGAGCTGTGTGTCCAAGCCCACAGTGAGTGAGGAGGTAGCCAGGTCTGAGTCCAGGCATGCTGGCTCCATGGGCCATGTTTGAGCCACAGCCTCGCACTGCTGCCTTTGAGAGTGCCCCGTGTCTCCACTGGGGAGAGGTTCTGCCTTCCTGTCTCCTCCAACCCCCACCCCTGCCCTCCTGTCCTGGCTGCCCCTCTGGGAGCTCCGGCATTGGCATCATCACCGTCACAGGTCAGGGAGGGAGGTAAGGGAGGCGAGGCCAAATGATGGGTAGGTGCTACCCAGAGGAGCAGAGAGGACAGAGCAGTGAATTCTGCCTGAGAGATCACGGGAGGCTTCAAGGAGGAGGTGGCCTTGAAGTTGGGCTTGAAAGATGAGAAAGGTCTGAAAGATAGGGGAGAGGGAGAGACTTGCAGGGCAGAGGGGCAGACGTGAGAACAGAGGGGCAAACCTTCTGAAAAAAAACACAGGGGTGGGCAGGAGGCCTATAAAAGGAAAGCAAAGGAGTGAGAGAGGGCGAGACTGGGAGGGCTCAAATGCTGTGGTCCCTGAAGGGTAGCTTGGGGTCCCAGCTGTGGGTCTGGTTGGGCAGGGGCAGTGAGCGGTGTGTTTGGACCCAGGCCCCATGACATCAGAGGGGTGTGTGAATCACTGGAGCCCAAGACAGAGGACATGGGGAGAATGGCAGCGCCACAGTGGCTGTGATGTGGGCGGGCAGGGCCACAGGGCCTTGGAGCATCGGGAGGTGTGCGGTGGCTCTGGGAAGAAGGAAGAGTCACAGGATGGGGGGCAGCCCTGGGGTCAAGTGCTCAGAGACACACACGGTGCCCTTGCAGGGTCTTCACCCCCTTTGTCAAGACAAGTTTTACCTTCTGGCCTGGAATCCCTGGAGGTCCGGGTGGGCCAATTTGCCCAGGAAGACCTGGAGGCCCCTAGACAAGAAAGGAAAGACGCGTGCAAGAACTTTCCCGCGGAGCAGGCACGGCCCGTGGCCAGAGGGCTGTACGCGGGGGCTGGCTTACAGGACTCCCAAAATGCAAGACAGGCAAGCACTGAGCGTGCCTGGGTCGAAGCGGGGGTGGGGCTCCGAGAGCCGCACCGACCACCTCTCCCTCCCCTTCTCTCTAGGGCACTCCGGGGCCTCCTCGGGCTCCAAGAAGATAAATCTGACTTTCCTGGACAATGACTTAAAATGTCTCCAGGCAACAACCCGAATATCCATCAGCAGGTGAACACGCGGTGAGCCATACGGTGGAACACTACTCGGCAGGGAAAAAGGAACGAAGTCCTGACAAACGCATTGACAGGGAGGAATCTCAAACACGTTCTGAGCAAAAGCAGCCAGACACAGACGACTGCACGCTGTGGGATTCATCCACACGAAGTTCTAGAAAAGACAGATCTGACCTACAGTGACAGAAAGCAGGTCAGTGCTGGCCTGGGGCTGGGCGTAGGTGTGGGAGTGGCTCCTAAGGGCAGGAAGGGACTTTCTGGAATGCCTGGGGAGGTGGATACATGGGTACATACATTTGTCAAAACTCCTCAAACTCTACACCTCCAGTGGGTACCTTTGATTGTGTGTAAGTTATACCTCAAGGTTGACTTTAAAAGAAATAAAATGTTTCCAGGAAGGTTTTATTTCCAATAGCTATTTCAAATAATACATTTTACTATCCCCAGATGAAGCTCATGGATTCCAGAATCTCATCATTGACACCAGTTTCTGGGATTGGGATGTCACACAGGTGGCGCTTGATTCTGAGTTTGTGTCATGCCTAAGTGTGTTCCATGGCACACAGGCGTGAAGAAATATTAGGTGGATTGAAATTCCAGCCATCTGAAAATTTTGCGATCTCGCCTCCCCTGTCCACCTTAGCCGTGGAACTGGGTGGTGGTCATTTTAACTACCAATATTTACTGAGCGCCTGCCATGGGTAGGCACAAATGCAAAACCCAGGCTTGGAATTCACTGGATTTCCAAGTGCAGATAATGAAATTGATTTCCAGGATGGGGGAAATGGGGACGGTTGCTATTATACTAATTTTTCAGGGTAATGGATTTTATTAGCTGAGGGTTGAGAAAAAAGAGAAACATAAAAACATCCTCCTATTTCCCTGACAGAGCTGTACAGAGAACCTAGCATTTACACTGTCACCAGAGTGCACAGCTGTGTGGGTGAAGAGCCCCTACACAGAGGACAACCATGACCCAGGGCACGGGCAGCCCACCCACCAGTCTCAGCCCCACCTCCAGCTGTGGTCACCCCCTGCCCCAGCAGTGCTGGGTCAACCCTAACCCAGAGCCCAGTGTCTGCTTTCTGGAAGGGAAGCCTCAAGTAGTTGCAACCAGGCTGCCCTCCCCAGCCCCTGCCCAGTGCCTGAGGAAGGTGAGGAGGAGGAGGACTTACCATTAAGGCCAGCGTTCGGATCTCCTAAAAAACCAACATCACACCATCAGTGGAAGAGCAAACCAAGAGCCACCTGGAAGACCCTCTCTGCCCAGTCACGCGATGGTGGGAGCTGGACCCCTCTCAGGAGCGCAGGTGGGGGTAGACCCTCACAGGTGGGCTCTGTGGCTGCCAGTCCCACCCACCCCCACTCCTCCTGCAGGTCTGTAATCATGGGACAGAGAACACGCAGCATCTCATAAGCCAATAGCACTGAGGCTGTCCTGCAATAAACTCAGATTATGCCCTTAAATGGACTCTGTTTTACCCAGGGAGGAGGGGATTCTTTCTAACCACCTACTGAGGCCCCTCCCTGGTCCTTTCCTCTTCACCCAGAACCCAGAGTTCAAGGTTTCCGTGTGTCTCCCTTTAAACAGACACTGTATAGCAAATAAGGAACTACTGAGAAAATAGATTAGAGGGACGATTGTTGGCTTTAAAAAAGAATTTTACATCCTATAGATGGATTCACCTGCATACACAGACTTCTTTGAAGGGGTGGCTCTCCAAATAAAGCGATTTTGTTCCCCAGGGGACTTTGGTCATGTCTGGAGACATATTTTGGTTGTCACAACTGAGGGTGGGGTGCTACTGGCCTCTAGTGGGTAGCGACGAGGGGTGCCGCTAAACATCCTAGAGCACACATCTCCTCCCCGTGACAAAGACCAACCCACCCGGAAAGTCAATAGTGCCAAGGTGGAGAAACCCTGCTTTGAAGAGTGGGGAGCTTGTGAACTCGAAATAGGATGACTTTCGCACAAGAGGGAGATCAATCCCGGAAGGCGACCCTACCCCGTGAAAGGGGAGCAGGCCCGCACTGAGAAGTGTGGGCCCAGGCCTGGATGCGCCAGCACCCCGCGGCGGGCCAGGACGCCTCCCCTATGGCTCTCAGGTGCCCAGAGCCAGGATCACTGGCCAGCTGGGCCCAGACAGAGGGCCTGGCCACCTGGATGCCAGGAAGCTGCACAGTGGGAGGCCCAAGGCAGTGACTCTCTCCTGGAAGCTCTGCCCAGTGGCCTGAGGGCAGGGCCACCACTCAGCAGCGTGGAAGAGCTACTACTGCATCAGGGCGGTTGTGTCCTGAGGTCCACGAGGACCTCCAGATCACCAGCCTCCTCACCTGGAGAGCCTCGTTGATGTTCCCGTTGTAATCCACCATCTCGCCTTTCCCTGGTTCTCCCTTGGGGCCCTGGAAGGCAAATGAGAGCTCAACCCAGGGCCTGGCCCGGAGGGACCTGAGGACAGCTGCTGCCTGTTCCCTATCGAGTGGGACCGCAGCCAGCACTGGCCACACCTGACTGCACACGAGTGGACCCAGAGCAGCTGGAGAGGGCCTGTCAGGGGCCCCAAACACTCTCAAAGGACGGACCCTCAGGAAATGTGGAATAAATACCGAAGACTCCACGTGGGAAGTCTGGACTAGACAGACCTGGAGAAGGTTGAGTCCACTCACTGCCACATCAGATGTCCCACCTGGGCCAGAATGCTCTTGCCCACCCTCTTCCTCAAGACCCCAAGGTCAAGTTGCTTCACGCGGTGACTTCAGGTGAGAGATGCACGTACCTTGGGGCCAGCCGGCCCCTGTTCTCCAGCTGCTCCGGGCTCCCCCTGTTGCACGACAAAGTTGGAGTGAAACTAGAGGAAAGCTGGTGCAGAGAACCCGACATCCCCAGACGGGCCACGCATCAGGCTCATCTTTGCTCAGGCCAACCAGACACACACCTCAACGTCCATTACAGTGCAGTCCCCGGGCCTTCTGGAAACATCTGCTGAACACCTGCCATAGTCCTCTCTCCCTCTGAGTTCTCCGGGCTCCCCACTGCTTCACACTCAATGATACTTTTTCTGTCTTGTGTTCGTTGTTAGTGACCCCCCTTGGTCCCTCTGGCCACCTCTCCCTTGTCCCCGGAGTCAGCCACCTCCTTGGGAGCAGGACCTCTGCTTCTCTTTGTTTCCGTTCTGCCCACCTATCGAGGGCTCTCTGCCAATTGCCTGCGTGGCTGATAATGGCTACGCAGAGCCCACGTGGGTTCTTCTAGGGCCCCCTCTACTTGTGAAAGACCCAATCCACTGGAGGAGATGTGGGGGGGCCTGGTCAGGTCTTAGGAGGACACAGGCACATGGACACCCAACCTCCCAGAGCAGGCGGGTGGAGAGACTTGCTCCTGTTGGAACCAGGACAGAGCGACAGGGAATAAATGAAACAGTGTGAATTGGGAAAAACAAACCATGGTTCCAACTGGCCTGAAATAGCGTTAACGTTGACGACAATTAAAAAAAAAAATCATCAGCTCCAGGTAACCCGCCGTCGGTCCCCCCGACCCTACAGCATTTTAGTCGCTGTCTACCTGTGAGGGACACACCAGCCTTCCAGAGGGAGTGCTGGAGGGAAGGGAGGCCCCCACCTTTACCAGTGGCTTGGGAGGCTCCGTGTCACTCCCCAGCCAAGCGTCCGGTCCCCAGGCTGGATTTGCACGGCTGCTATCTCAGTGGATAGCTCTCTAAAGCGCAGGCCAACCAGGAACACGAGAAGCCAGGGGTCACGGCCAGCCAGCCTTGTGCCCCAGGCTGGAGCCCTAGGGACGGCCAAGACTGTTTCTCTGAGAGGGGCTTGACCTCCCAAGCTGACCCTCGTCCTGCAGCCCTGGGTTGTGGGGGCCTCTGTACCTTGTCTCCTTGCCGTCCTGGGGGGCCAGGCTGGCCATTGACACCTGCTTCTCCCTGGGGAGGAGGAGAGAGATGGGATGAGAGCACGCGGGGCAGACAGGACAGCCACGCAAGGGGGAAAAGGCGGTCTTGCCGCTCACGCTCTGGGTGTTGTCTCTGGGCCTCTCTTTCCCTGCTGGCTTCTGCTACCTCGCACCATCTACCTATCTGACTCCTACCTGCCCTTAGCCCAGCCTGGGCCTCACCTCTCTGGAAGCCCTACCTGTCCCTTCCAATCCTCCCCTACATTCTGTGCCAATCACTGGTGTCCACCCTGCCCAGCCAGGCCCTCATCTGTTCTTGGTTAGTACACACGTGCCCAGCTCTGTCACAGCCCTCGGCCGGACTACGGTTGCCATCGGCCCTGGCTATGGGGAGGCAGGTCATTTTGGAGTCTGGCACACTTACGAAGGCACCTCCTTGGGTCTGCCTGGAGGACAGAGGTGAATGTGAAGGCCCTGGGCATCTGGGCAGGGCACCCCAGGGGGCCCAGGATAGGAGGTGCAGAGAGAGGTGGGAGCAGGCCCACTCCAAATAATTCACTTATTAAATATTTGGCCTGGACCTGGAACATGGACACGAATTGGGAACATAGTCTTCTGGCTTTCCCTTGATTTTGCCTAAGGACACAGGACAATAGTGAGCACGTTTCCCCAACACCAAATCAAGACCGAGACATGCTATGTGCTGTGCGTGGTCAGTGGGTTGCCTCCAGCACTGGGACATTCTGGAGCCCTGGTGGCAGGGCTGCCTTTGGCAGAACTGGTGCTTGTGCCAGGGAAGTTCTGTTGTAGTCACAGTCCGGATGGGCAGGCAGGGCTGAACTGGAGACCCTTCCTAGCCCTTCATCTGGCCTGCTTCCAGAGTTCCTGCGGCTCTCTGCACTGTACCCCTCTGAACTGTGGGTTCGTTTCTTCTGCTAGATTGTGAACAAGCTGAGGGCAGGTTCCCTACAGCCCCATTGCCCTGAAGGCCCAGCCCATGGTAGGCCCTTGATAAATGCTGGTGGAATGGATGAGTGTATTGCCTCGAATCATGTAGAGTAGTTCATGCTTCCCTTACGAGCTAAGAGAGAGACCTCCTGCATTTCCCTGTGCTGCTAAAATAAACCAAGCAACACAGGAGGCATCTGCTTTGGGAAACCCATATCTTACCGTTGCACATTCCAACCAGTGAAAGGAAAGTAGGGCAGCCCCATTGCGGCTGCTCCACTGCTGCCAGCCTCCCCCTGGGTGTGGCAGTACCAGGTGGGGCCCAGCTGATCCCTGACCTGCAAGCTAGTCAGAGCCAAGATGGGGGGTCTTCCTGGCTGTCCTAAGACCCCGCAGCTGTCAGCGCCTGACTCACTTATAGCATAGCCATTGTTCCCTGAGTTACGTCATAGTCACCTGAATCAATGGGACCATCCGTCTGCCCCAGGGAAGACATCTCTCCTGGGAGGTCAAACAGCTACCTGCTTGGAAGCAGGAGCTGGGCCCGAATGGCCTTTCTAGAATCCACTGAGAAAACCCACACGTCTGGAGCGGAAGGTTAGAGACGGCGAGATGTCTGAGAACAAGCAAACGTCTCCCTTGACCCTGATCCCAGGGAAGACTCACCTTTGGTCCTGGGGGCCCAGGGAGCCCTGGGGGGCCGGGCTCCCCTCTGCCACCTCCGATGGAGTTGCCAGCATCGCCTTTCTCTCCCTGGGGGTGGAAGGTAGAGTCGCTGTCACTGGCTTGACCTTAGCTCTAGGAGGTGGTGAGTCCCTGGCCTTCTGCACTCTCTCCTCACAGCTCAGAGGGGGGGCAGGAGGCTGCCCCCAGACTAGGCTCAGTGCAGAGGGACAATAAGGGGTCCATGAGCTCCAGGATGTCTGGGACTAGAGGCCTTTGGAATCCTGGCCCGGTCTGATGTGACCGTGGGATTTGAGGAGAGAAGGGAGCCGTTTACTGGATGGGGCGGAACAGGTTTAGAGGTGAAACAAGGGACCCAGCAAGAGCTGGGGCTGGAGCAGTGCTTCTCAAAGTGTGTTCCGTGGAGCACTCCTCAGTGGGTTGGGAATATTTGAAATGTGAAAAAAAAGGTCTGGTGGCCAAACTATGCTAAGAAATGCAAAGTTAAAGGAAGCCTGGCAGGCCCTTCACTGCGGCGTGCTCAGGGCCTCTAACAGGCTGAAGCGCACTGGGACTCTCCAAGTGGCCTGTCTTATGTAGCTCTCCCCAGATTTATTTGACCTCACCTTTAAAAAAATTTTTAAATGAACTATCTTCTTACAGAGCTCATGGACCACGGGATGCATTTTCAGAGTCGGTATAAAGAGATTGGACCAGGTCATGGCTACTGAGTTCTTTGAATTCAGGCATTTCCTTGCCAATCGGGCCCCGCCTTGTGGCACCTCTCCCCCACCCTGCCAAACAGACTGTGGCTGTGTCCCAGCTGCCTTCCCCCACTCTGGAAGAGGGACATGTCTAACGCTGGGGCCCGTGTGCATGTGCAGGGCTGGGAAGGGGATGTGGGTGAGGAAGGACCCTGAGGCCTTTCCACAGAACCTACCTTTCAGAGCCCAGCGATACCTACCTTCTGCCCCAGGAGGCCAGGCAGCCCAGGGGAGCCCGCAGCCCCCTTCTCACCCTGTGGGGGAGACACAGACACTGGGGTTAGAAATGGTTTCTCCAGGATGTCTGTGAAGGCGTCAGGGCCTTGCCTTCCCTCGCTCCTGCCTCCTGCCCCCTCCTCGGGTGGGTCTCTGAAGGGCTCCACTTCCTTCCGGACCCCCATCCCGGCTGGCTGTCTCCCTCGGCCACTTCGCACTGGTGACAGCCCGGGCCCTCCTCACTCACACGGGGGAGAGGTGATGCTGGCCACAGATTGTAACAAAGCCAGGAGCACGTGGGCCCTCCTGGGGGTCCCTGGGGAGAAGGGAGCAGTTCAAACCCAGGAGTTGGGCAAGGGCCTCCTTTTAAACCACTGAGCTCTTCATGTTCTTGTCGTCCAGCAGCTGGAGGCTGGTAGTCTTTTCTGCCACCTCCTCCCTGCTTCTAAGGAGGACAAAGACCAGCTAACTAGAACTTCTCCTTTGTGGGAAGGTTTTGAAAAATTTGCCTCCTGTCATGGGTTGAAGCGTGTCCCCCCCCCCAAATCCATATGCTGAAGTCCTAAACCCAGTATCTCAGAACGTGACCTTATTTGGAAATACCGTCAGGGCAGATGTAATTATTTAAGATGAGGTCACACTAGAGCAGGGTGGGCCTACTCCAGCGCGCTGGTGCCCTTACGAAAAAGGGGCAATTTGCACACAGACATGCATGCAGGGAGACACCCCGTGAGGACGGACCAGAGATCGGGGTGATGCTCCTGCAAGCCAAGCAAGACCAGAGATGGCCAGCAGCCACCAGAAGCCGGGGAGAGGCCGAGAACAGATTCTCCCTCGCAGCACTCAAAAGGAAACAGCCCTGCCGATGCCTTGCCTTTGGATTTGCAGCTTCCAGAACTGGGAGACAATGGATTTCCATTGTTCAAGCCCCCAGTCCGTGGTACTCCGTTACGGCAGCTCTGGCAAATCAACCCACCTCCCTCACCGGCTCCGTTCGCTACTGAAGAGTTCTTTATTTCTCCCCCTCACATGGATCAAAGAGTCCCTTAGAGATACTTGCACCCCATTCTCATTTCACGATGAAGCATGGGGGCCCCAAGAAGTTACGTGACTTATGGCCAACCCTGCACTGGATTGGTGGCAGAGCTGGGTCCGGCCCCCCCAGGCTCCTGATGTCCTGTCTCTGTGACACGAAGGCTTCGCTTTGCAAAGTGTTTGTCTTAGCTTGGGTGGCCATAACAAAATATCGCAGTCTGGGTGGCTTGAATGTTTCTTTTCCTATAGTTCTGGAGGCTGGAAGTCTCAGATCAGGGTGCTGGGATGACCAGGTTCTGGTGAGAGGCCTCTCCTTGGCTTGCAGCTGACCTTTCGCTGTGTCCTCACGTGGCACAGAGAGAGAAGCATCTCTCTCTCTTCCTCGTTGTATAGGGCCACCAAGCATTTTTTTTTTTTTTTTTACACATTATTGGTGGATGAGCACACATGTTTTAGAAGACAGGCACTCATCTTAAAAACAAAAAGTTTAATCCAGTTGCCCCACCTAAATATAAAACTTTTTATTATAAGATTTTCCAACAGCCACCAATCCTTTAGGGGGATTTGGACTCTACTTTCATGACTTCATTTAACCTTAATCACCCCCCAAAAGCCCCGTCTCTACACACAGTCACATTGGGGGTTACAGTGTCAACATAGGAATTTGGGGGGACACGTTCAGGTGAGTACACCAAGAGCACCCCGCCAGCGGGGGTCAGTATCGGGTCAGCATGGGAAGCTCCACTCTCCATGGGCCCGGGGAGAACTGAGAGCTCTGGGGTCGTATTTGGTGTCAGACGTCTCAGCGAACTTTCTAGCCGGAGCCACCAAAGACGCCACACCAAGTCTTTGGGTGTCATCTCCTTGCCACCTGCCCTAGGAAGCTGATGGCAAAGTGGCCTGGAGCTGGCCAAGAGGGCTGCGTGGGGGCCAGGCAGGGGCCCTGGCAAAGGGAGGGAAGCAAGTCCTGAGGCCCCGGCTGCCCTGCCTTATCTGGACTGCTCCTGGGATGTGCCTTCACCAGGGCATCCTCCCCAAACAGGCCAGGTCTAGAGGGAAAGGACGCAGGTCCCGTCGTATAAAGATCCTTGGGGGCGGGGGCAAGAGGAGGCAGCTTCCCCCCTCGGCTGGGCTCTCTGCTAGGTAACCAGCGGCTTCCAAAGAGAGAGGGTGAGCTCTCGCGTGTGGCTTTCTGTAGCCTCGCCAGGCTATCCCGCCATTCCCCTCGTCCCGGGACACATGCACCCCCAGCACACTGCAGGCAACACACCAGCCATGGAGGTGGGGCAGGAAGTAGGGTCCCGGTGAGGCCAGGATGAGGGGGCACACATTCAAATACACGATATCCTACCCTCTGCCCCCTCTTTCCCGGCAAACCTGGGGGCCCTGGCTTCCCTGCTGCTCCTGAGTCTCCCTTTGAGGTAAGAAGAGAAAGTCACTGATAAGAGGATGGAGTGGGGGGTGAGGGGTGGGATGGGCAGTGATTATAGACCAGCATTTCCGGAATACTTGTCCCATAAGCTTCTTCTCTTTAAAAAATGGTGTGTTCTCGTCAAAAAAGTTTTGAAAATGTCACACGAGATATTTCCTTTCGAGAGCTCCTCAATGCATATTTAGCATGTTAAAGGCTCTGAGAAGGTCTGCAGCAAAGAAACCTGTATAATATTTTTAACCAAGTATTTCTCAAACTTATTTGACCATGGAAACTTTTTTCTTGTCACATCTCTTATTGTCCTAGACAAGAGAGAAAGAGAACCCAGCAGGTGCAGGGGACAATAGTCACCGTCTGCTGCCGCTGGCATACATGCAGGCCAGGATCTGGGGAAGGGGGAGACATTTGCAGTGTGCTCCTGACAAGCGGGCCCTTCTTTTCTCAGCCAGGTCCCCAGCCCCGGGCCAGCCTCAGGGGGACCAAGAGCAAACCAGCAGCAGCCCCCCTCCCACCTCTGCCCCACAACCGATGCGCCGTGCATCCCAGAACATTCTCTCTGCATCAGTACCTTGGCTCCTGGGGTCCCCGGCTCACCCTGTGTGGAAAAAGGAAGACTTAGGTAAAGAAATGAGCAAGAGAGAAAGGGCAGGAAAGAATGAGCAAAGGCACTGGGGTGGGGCGGGGTGGTCAGTGAAATAACTGGCAGCCCCGGCTTTCTCTGCCCAGGCGTCAGGTCCCAGATCAAAGGAGGGCTCTGGGCTGCTGACCCTCACGGGGTCCTGCTAGTCCCTAGTGAGGGGAGTGGCAGGCGTGAGTGTAAGTGAGGCATCCCAGGAGGAAGGAGAGGGAGGAACAGGCATTTGGTTTGGACATGGTGCCCCCTGTAGGTGGACATGCCGTCAATATCGACATTGAGCACCTCTTTTTCCAAGCCGTCCCCTCCGTCTGCCTGCCAACCAGATGGGTGGTTACGGTGAGGGTTCGGGAGAAGGGCTTTGGAAGCACGTAGCTGCCGAATTCCAGAGTGCAAAGGAAGGGTCTGGGTTTTGTTGGTACGGTGGCTGGCTACTGAGACCTTTAGCTGAGGCTGGGCGACCTTTGCTACTTACTTGCAAGGCTTAGTTAAGCATCTGTTGTGCAAGGTTGCGCATCTGGCATAAATGTTACTTTAAGAAAAATGATTCCAAATCTTGTCTGCCTCCTCATTGGTCCAGCGGCCACCCCACTGAGTCACAAATTCCCAACTCTGTCCCTCTCGCACCATCTCTCCCAGCCTGCCCCAGATGTGTTGAGTGACAACATTCAACTGACCTTCATCCCGGCCACGGCGATTCCAGGAGCCCCCTGGCAGAGAGGAGAAAAGGTCTGAAGACTTTGTGCAGTCGGAGGGCAGCAAGGAGGAAGTGGCCAGCCTCCCACTGCTGCGACATGGAAGGCTGCTCACTTCTGCCTGCTGCCCAAGCCCCGAGAAGCGCGGGCACTGAGCTGGGCACGTGGCGGTGGCCCTGAGGAACAGGCTGTGTGCAGCCCAGCCTGCCGGGGTCCTGGCCTCCCACCCAGCGCTCAGCTCCCAGGCGCTACTGGGAGGGAGGTGCGGCGGGGACTGCCGGCTGCTAGATGGGGCTAGAGGGGGGTGTCCCTGGGGTGGGGGTGGGGGCTTCATTGGAATGTGAGGGAAGGGGGAGAGGATGGGAGAGGAAAGGGAGGAGAATGGGGCCATGGGGAGGGGAGAACCATAGATGACAATACGAAGGGGCTGATTCCCCTCACAGTGGCTCTCTGGACCTCTGCCCTCACGGACTGGGGAGTGGCTGGGACTGAATCCCATTTTCATATCAGCCCAACCCAGCTACTTTGAGGTGAATATGGTGCCCAAAGTGCCACTTACTAAATCGCAAGTGGAGGTGATTTTGGGGGGTCCATACTCCCCACTTGGGTCTCAGGACTGCAGCTGGAGCTGGGATTACCTGAGAAAGCTTTTTATGACCCAGAGATGCCCAGGCCAGTCACATCAGGAGGGCACTGATGAGAGACCACGTGTGGGCCACACATGAGCAACCCCATGTGGAAGGACAGGCTAGCGTGGCAAGGGGACAGTCAGGGCAAGAAGGAGGAAGCCAAGGCACTGGGACTCCAGGGGACCCTCGAGCTTGGGGGAGAGGGACGGGCTCTGAGGGAGGGCAGGTACCTTGGCGCCATGCTTGCCCGGCATCCCTGGCATGCCCCGTTCTCCCTGCAGGGAAAAACAAGAGAAACGGTGAGAGGAAGACCACACTCAGGCCTGCCGATGTCAGTGAGAGAACACCTTGTCTGCAAGCCTGGGACAACTGTCCCTCTCACAGTGAGCTCTGAGGACCCTGCCCTGGCCGGCAGCCACGTGGGCCACTGCCCTTAGCTATGAGAACTTGCAGGAGGGCCCAAGTCACAGACCCCAGACCAGGAAAGGCCCCCAGAGAGAGAGGCCCACCATGTGGCATCAGAGTCCAGCGAGGTGACTTGCTCACGATCTCTTGCCCCTCAGTGGCCAGGCTGGGCCTGGAACTAGGATTGTGGGGCGAGGCCATGGGCAGCAGGACCTCACCCGGCCGCTCACCTACCGCGTGCCTTCCTGCCCCCCTGCCTGCTGCTTCTTCCCCTTTTGTCCCAGCACCTTTGCTGGGACGGTACCTACCAGCTGGCCAGCCAGGGGCTCCCTTCTCTCCTCGTCTGGGGCTCCCTCTCCTCCCTAGTCCCCTGGGTCTGACTCTTCCCACGGGAAGCAGGCCTTGGCCTCTGCGCCTGCCCTTCTCGCTGCGCCCCGCTCCTGACCCCGCCCATGCAGAGGACCAGCCTGGGACAGCGTGGGGTCTGCTCCACCGTCTCAGCACTGCCCCACCTTTATCTTCAACCTCCGCATTCTCCAAGAAAATGCCACATCTGTGAGAAGGGGTGAGATCAGGAAGGACAAGAGGTGGGGCTGGGGATGACAGCCAGTGACAAACGAGGGGCTAAGAGTAGGTGAGTCAAGACTACAGCCTGCCATACGGGGGGAGCAAGGAGGGTGGCCCCTGCCTCAGGAGTTGAACCATGCACGGTCCCAGCATGAAGCCCCAGCTGGGGCCCAGGATGTTGTCCAGCAACAGGGGACAGCGGCCAGCCTGCCGCAGCTTCCTGCATCTGAAAGCCAGCGCCATGGATGGGCAACGCGGAGCCCGACAGGCCTTGCTCCTGGCCTGGCTGCCCCACTTGGGCAGGAGTGTCGTGGCTGGCAGGCCGGGCTGCGACTCCCACAGGCTGAAAGGCAGAGGGGCACCTGGTCCCACTTGGCCTCCACCTCTCCGCTGCCCACTCTCTCCCTTCCCCGCCATCATACAGGAAGTCCTAGTCCATCCTTCTCACCGGGGCTAGAGCTGCTCCCACCCTCTCTCCACGATGGGTCCTCCACGCTGGCATCCAGGCGAACTTCCCCATACACAGGCTGGCTAAGGAGACGCCCCTCCTTCAAAACACCCGTGGCCTGGCACTGACTGCAGGGAAGGGGCCAGGCTCCTCCCGAGCATGGTCTTCTGACTTGCTTCCTTCCCAGCCTCGTCGCCTGACCTCCTGCTGTCCATCAACTGGTGTCTGTGTCCCCAGAAACACCACCCGTTCATGATTCTGTGGCTTTCTGCTGCTAATACTTCCTCAACTCAAAACCCCATTTATTGTTTGGGGCCTGGGTCAATAAAGTGCCCAGTGCTTTTCTGAGCACCCTGGGCTGAGCTGTCCTCACACACAAACCCCTACACCCCTGTGGGCCCCAGCACAGGGGGCTTCACCCTGCTTGCTGCCTGCAGAGCTGTCTGATGGAAGCAGGGCCCTTTTGTCTCCTCTATGAATTTCTGCTGTCCCCCTTAACCCAGTGCTGCTTCCCCAACGCAGCAGGAACCACTCTGCATTTGTAATCTGCATGCACAAGTGCACGTCTGCCTGCGATGGCTGCACCTGCATCCTCGTTGGGCCAAGTGTCTGAATCTTGCAAAAAGCCCAGCACCTTTAGCTCCAAGCACCAGAGCGCTCCCTCGGCTTGACCCCACCAGCGACCCCTGAGCCGTAGGCAGGTGGCAGAGTTAGATTCAGGAAGTGAGCACAGCAGACAAGCCGTTGCCCCAGGTGTGCCCTACCATTAAGTCTCCCCTTGTGCGAACGATCAGAGACAGGCGCAGCCATTCACTGCACCTGCCCTGTGCCCGCACTGCACGTACGAGCTTTCCATCCTTCCTCTATCCCTGCGGTCCCCTGCCTCCGGGCCGAAGCCCGGTACTGGTCCATGGCGCATCACCACCTGAGCTCCGCCTGCCTCCCCCTCCACCCGCACACCGGTCCGTGGAAAAATTGTCTTCCATGAAACTTAGGAACCGGGCCCCACAGTGAAGCTTCATCTGTATTTACAGCCACGCCTCATCACTCGCATCACTGCCTGAGCTCCGCCTTCTCTCCCCCACCCACCCCCCCGACCTTCCATGTACAATTGTCTTCCATGAAACGTGTCCCTGGTGCCAAAAATGTTTGGGGACCGCTGCTGTATACAGTCTTTAAGAATCCCCTCCTGTGTGGGAGTGGATGTTATTCCTGTGTCGCAGGTGAGCAAACCGCAGCTCAGAGAGCCAGGTATGACTGCCAAGGGCAGTCTAGGGCTGTGAACCTGAGTTTGTTGTCTGCCAAGCCCAGGTGCTCATTTCTCCTGGCCAACCCCAACATCGGATGGACTGAGGGTCCATCTGCCCCATCAGATAACCTCTGCAGGCCGAAAGCAGGGCAAGCCCTCTCTGATGGGCCCTCAGGCCGGGGGACCACAGGGTGAAGGGGCCAGAGGATGCCGCAGCTCAGTCCAGGGAGCCCAGAAAAGCGCAGGCGGAGCCCTGCCTGTGCGCACAGGTCTGCCCTGCGGCCAGCAGAGGGCGCGACAGGACCTCGTCTGAAGTCTGGCCACTCGGGCCACAATGGCCTCAAAGCCCCCTTTCAGGAGCGCCAGCTGAGGGGCCCTGTCACTCTTTCCTTTGGGGGACCAGTGTCATCCGCTAACATTCCAACCAGCCCAACCAGGCTGACTCATCCCAGAGGCCCCAGAGTGGGGGGACGGGGTGCAGGTGGGAGGTCAGCTTGGGGACTCCCTGACTGTTCAACCCTCTCTTCCTCTTCCTCTGTCTTTTCTTCACCTTTCCCCCAATGCCCTTGCCCTCTTCTTCCCGCCTCCATTTTGGGAGCTGGGCTGGAAGTGTGTGTGACCACGGAAACGCCACTTCCCCCTCTGGGTCCAGGGTCCTCCTTGCAAAGTGAGGTTAGACCAGATCCCTCCCGCCCACTCCTGCTCCTTGGTCTTCCACTCACCCGGCCCTGTCCCTGCTCTCTGCACGGCCCTCAGGAGGGACAGGGGCCAGAGCCAGACACTTGGGTCTGTTGGCAGCTCCAGGACAAGGCTGGGGTGGGGGAGAGAGTCTAAGCTCGGGATAAAAACGCAGCTCTAGGGGGGGTCTCAGCTCTCCCCTTTTGCACACAGAGGGCGGCTGTGGGATGCTCCCACAGGGTAGGAGGCAGGTTCTGCTTCACACTCATCTCTGGGCTTCTGTCTCCAATCTCAGAAGAAACTGTGTAGAGCAGAATCCCGGAGCGTGAGGGTTTCCCGGCTAATCAGGGCTGTCTTTAGCCCCTGTTGATTTGAGTATGTGAAGACACAGTCACGCACTTGGGGGAAATCAGAGCTTCCTAGGGAGGCAGCCCTCTGCCTAGCGTGGCTGACCTTCGACCCTTCCCTCTCCTCTGGGTCAAGGCTCTTAATTCTGCAAATGACCCAGGCCCCAGGCTCCCTTGACCCCCACCTGAGGGCCCCCTCCCTTCCGCCCTTTCCCAGGCAGGAAGCAGCGGTGCCTGGCTGACCTCCCCGCCGCTCTCTCCAGTCTCATTAGGCTCAGTCCTAATGTCCCTGTGGGCTCGCCCCTGCCCCACCTCTGAAGTGGGGAGCTGGGCTTCCCCCAGGCCAGAGAACTCTGACTCCTGGGTGGAGGGTGAGGCCAGAGTCACTGTCAAGGCTCCAGGGTCGCTGCGGCCAGGACCCGCCTGCAGCAGACAGGAGGTGGGGGCTGCTGGTGGCCATTGCCAAAGGAGGACAGTGACGCACCTCTGTTCAGAGGGCTGTTCCCGGGGTACATCCTGTGAGAGCCTATCCAGATACCCCTTCTTTTCCATTCGCCTCTTAAGTTTTCCTGTCTGAAAAGTTTCAGTTAGGAGTTGTGCTCCATTTAGATCTGCTCACTCGTGACTGTCTTTGTCTTCTGGGGGCTTGGTTCTCTCCGTCTGTCCAACCCACAGGCCTGGCTTTATCTCCTCTACCTCTGCCTTCCCTTGTCCTCCCAGCGGGGACTCTCAGCCACCCTATGTGGGCCATCCTGCGGCTGGGGACGTGTGGGCTCTGAGCATCACAAAGTGTCTCGGCCCACGTGCACGGAGCGTAATGGCAGAACTGCAACTCCCAGGCCAGCCCCCGTCACCCCTCTGGGAGGCTGGCTTTTTAGCCTCAGTGCCAAGAACCAATGCACGGAAGGGGAGGTGGAGATGCGCAGATGGGCACAGAGGGGTTTGCCCTGACTGCCCTTGAAGACCGGTCTCGGCCTGACCTTGAGGCTGCCACTTAAGACTCTGCAGCCAGGCCATGCACCTGAGCACGTGACAGCATCAATAGGTCCTCTATTCTGGTCCCGGCTTCCAGGCGGGAGGACCCATCCTTCACAGAGATGACAGAGCGGGAGTGAGCTCTTGGGAGCGCAAACTGGCCGTGCTCTGGTCCTGCGGGAGTGGCCTCTTAATTGGTGATTTACTGTTTGCAGGACAAGCTGGGCAGGGACTTGGCAAGAAGACACAGTCTGGAAGGAGGTGGGGGACTTCAAGGTCAGCTCCCAGCCCAGCAAAGGTCAGGTCATGAATGGACCTCCCCGAGGTGAGGCCTGGGCTCCTGCTGCAGCCAGGTCTGGGTGGGAAGGCCCAGGGCCCAGTGCAGCCGGGCACACAGGCTCTTTGTTCTCTGCAGGGGAGGAGGAAGGCCTGTCTGGGAGTGTGGGGCGTGGAGGGCTGCGGGGAGGGGGTGGTGGTAGCAGGCAGCTTGGGCCTCAAGCCTGGACCAGGGCCCTTTCCTGGGGTGCAAGAGCCGGGTGAGGAGGGCTAATGCCCTTCTGCCCCAAAGAGTTCCCGGGCCTCCCTTCCGGGAAGAGGGCAGCTCAG